AATTAAAAATAATGCCTCACCTTTGTTTTCGACAAAAAAGTATAAATCAACCCAAGAATTATTAAAAAAACGATGTTCATGACAAATTTTTCTTTTTTTAGTCGCTATAATGTTTGGATTTACTTGTAAAATTAAACTATTACAAATGCAAACAGTCACACGTACGGGCTTAATCACAGTGTAATACTAATTACTACAAACGCAAAGTAACTATGCCCATAGTTTAAAATTTTAAATAAATATAAGTATATTTAATTTATCCTATGACTGAGTAGTACAGCCATCATTATCTTTGACTCCGATTAGATAATAATAACAATTTTATAAATTAAACTGACTATATAATTACATAGAATAGACATCAACTATTAACAATTAGTTTAGATTTTATTTATAAAGAAAAAAGAATTGAATAGTATTGATAATTGTATGAACAATTTTACTGAACAAAAATAAAACACAAAAATTAACCACCTTTATGCGGGCCATAAAAAATGGTTTCTCGGGCCGCGGGTTGCCGACCCCTGATCCACGGCGTCGTGTGTATGTGCGTTGGACGTATTCTCTGAGGGGTAATAATAACGGTAGTGGTGTAGCTAGGATTTTTCTTCTGGGGGGGGGGGGGCTGATCAATTTGTACATACCGGTGGTTTAGATAGGTTCTTCCATAAGTTTAACATGTGGATGTCAAAATTAAATTTTAGATTTTGGTTCCTATAACCCTTAACCATATTGATTTAATAATACTCTTGTATGCTTTAAATACTTTGGATATTGTATTTTATAGTAATATAAAAAAAATTATTTTACACGTATTACTCATTAAAAAAAAATAATAAAAAGCAATGAATTTTTTTTTTTTTAATAAAACATACTATAATAGATCAACATTTTATAAAATAAATAAATCGCAGAATTGTGTACAGAACAATTACGAATCAATTAAATACACGATTAATATATATTTATCGATTTTTAAAATAAATTGTTTAAAATTGTTTAAATAAATATTATGCATAATTCGTCTATATTATAGACATATACTATCAACAAAATAATATGCAAACGTGCGGTGGCCGAAGAGAAATTTCGTTTCAAAAGTCTGTTTAGAAATTAACCTCAGAATTGCTCGGTTAAGAAGATAAATATTTTGATTTATTAATCAAATCTATAAACACTTCATCTGAGCGTTGAATATTTATTTTTATCAACATTTGTTAACTATCAATACGGCGTAGTTTAGGCACGAAATTTAAGTGTGCGCATAGACAGTGCCGTAACTAGATGTTAGTGAAATGGACGGTTGCCATGGACGCAGCAAAGTAAGGGGGTGCATTAGAGGTAAGTTTGATTATTTTTATTTACATCTTGCGCCAGAATAAATTCGCCAAGGGCGTCATGGAAGGTAGTTATGGCACTGCTAAGTCATTTTTTAGGTGAAAAAAAATTGTTTAAAATGGGACTGTCAAAATAAAGATAATTTAGATTAATTAAATTAATTTAGAAGAACCATAATCAGTTAGTTAAATTAATGTTGGACTTAAATGGTTAAAGTCCTAAGCTGATAATAGCTGTAATTGGTTTTGGTCCAAATATTAATCATACTGCTTCAGTGTTGTTTTCGAAACCTTTATTATATTGTGCGAATAAATAATAATAAATAGTCACATAAATTAAAGGTACGAACAAGAACGCAAATTTGATTATAGAAAGCGATTGAGATTTTAAATTCTGTTTCGTCGGTTTACACGTTACTGGTTTATATACGTATTATTATTGAGAAAATATCATGCGTCTGTTTCAAACTAATAATTTAACACTATAACAACACTAAATGTTGATCAAGGCGCGCGTGCGTACATATTTTATTACACACGGTTCACGGCGTTACAAGAAACACACACACACACACACGAGTATAGGACGTCAGAATTATTTAAATGCCGATCGAGTTCGGAGATGTTTTCGAATGATAAAAACGTGTACGTAATATATAATTTATTAACGCCGCGCGTATGTACATGTGTATACATATTATTACACCTACGAATTGGTGCGTTCGGATATTCGGTACGGCTCGATATATATATGATAGGTAAGTAATTACTTGCGAAACGAGGTAACGATGCGACGTAGCGTGACACGTCATCCAACGACTGTATAAAAAACCGAACGGCATTAAATATTTACGAATCGAACGTTGTAAAGACGAAATGTTCGCCTCCAAGTTGTGTGAGACAGGAGCGAATCCGGAGGGGGAGTGAAGCAATCGGAAAAAAAACTTTCTACGGAATTTGAGACTTTTTTTCAGACGTCTCGGCCACGGTTTAAGAAGTATTGAATATTAATTATATAATTTTGATTCCTAGTACAACCCGTGTAATGCGCAACCATAAAAATCACCCCGTCCATTGTTATATTGGTCTGGATTCGCTCCGAGCGATTCTTCGACCGTGCACGCGCAAAAGACCGTCGTCGCACCTATATTAACGATTGTTTGACCGTTACGTCAAACGTAAAATCGTGGTAAAAATAAAAACACAAACAAATCACAATCCTAAGACATTGTAAAAAATAATAATCGCGCGAAATATATCAAATTTATGTATCATATTGTGAACGCGTGAAATAAAATTAAAAAATAAAACCACATGTATTTACGCGTCGTCGTGCAGCGGCGAAAAACATAGAAAAAGTTATCGGCACCGGGAATCTCAAATCACGTATATGTAATAAATATACCTATAACGTATACTTTAACGTGGAAGGAGTCCCGTTGTTATTGTTGCTGTCGGTGATGCCGCGTATACACAGGTCATTAAATTCATAATACAAGTTAACCATATGCGTGCGCGTATGATAGTCCATTTCACACCGAGACGATGGTATAGGAACGAAGAATAAAAAAATATTGTTTCAATAGTAGGAGGAAAATTATGTGTAATACTGCATCTCTCTCTCTCTCTCTCTTTATCACTTTAAAACTAAAAACTTTAAACAAACATAGTAGCAATAGTAATTTAAATACTTTTCAAATAATCAATTTAAAGTTCAAATACTAATTGATGAATGTTTAAAAGTAATAAAAAAAAAACTGTATTTAAATATTCAATACTACGATAAAGTTGAGTGTTCAAATATTATTCACATATTGTATATTATAAATGTTCAAGTTGTAAGAAAATAACTCAAATTCGGTGTGATCGAATATTATGAAATTAAAATTCGTTGAAACACCCTATTTTGTCGAAATTCCTATTTTATCGCTTAAAAGACTTTTTTGCAACTTCTCGTTAAAAATTTGATCACAAAGAATATTTTAATCAAAATCTTATATCCTATTTTCAAATTTTATGAATTTTTAACAAGAATAATGTGGCAGATTTTTGAGGTTTTTATCGAGTTCTGTCAACATTTAATATTCGAGCGTTCATATTTTTTTTATTTTTAATTAAGCAAAATTTTTGATCATTGACTTGTCAAAGGGTATTTGAGAAATTCGTTATTTTCAAGACTTTTGATCAAACCAAAATTATTTTATCGACATTTTATAAAAAAAAAACAAGAACACATGAAATTGTAAAATATTTATAAATATCTCAAAAAAGTCAAAATATTTTTAAAAAACATACCATTTATAGTAAATAGTGATAAAAGCATTCAGTGGACGTTTTTATAATTTTTTGAACATCGAATGTTATTCATTCTAAATATTATAACATTTTGTTTACCGATTAGTCATTAGTATAGGTAAATGATTCTGATACATTTGTACTATTGGTTTTGAAAAACAATCTTGAGTGAAGGAAATCTGTAAGATTTTCTAATCAAGTTGGTTGGTTAAGTTAGATTAGGTTTGTTAAAAAAAAAACAAGTATAATCATTTGACACTTTGATTTAGTTAATTAAAATATTATGTATACGAGTATATTGCAACCATCCTGGTTCATTCAAAATGATTCAAAGATTTAAAACACTGGCTGTGTATATCTCACAAACATGTGAAATACCTTAAATCAAATATTTATTTAAATCGTTAACGGTATGAATATAACGTCGAGCGTTGAGCAAATTAACTTTCATTTGAAAAAAATAAATATTTTACTTTGCTTCTATCATTTTTGTTAATATAATTAAAAAAATGTGTTTTATGAATAACTTAATTAGACTTGGTTTATAACAAACATATTCTCATAATATGTGATAAGAAAATGCAATAAAATTATATTGAATATAACCAATTAGGTTTCTTGATTATTAAGATTGTTATTAATTTATTAGTTTGTGATAAACATTACACTCGACCTTGTTGAATAAATCAAAAATAAAATATCACTTATGGGTGTGAAAAATTTCCCGAAATGTAATCTTATACAATAATGATGACGAATTTTTAGAATAAAATAATATTGCTACACAAATCAAATTGATATACTTCCAATTATGAGCTTGAAGGTGATATTCTTAGGTTAGATAACCCCTGGCACCCTTAGTAAATACGCCAATGTTGATTATGTTTCAAGTCACTTAAGTTTAAATTTTAAGCAATTTAATAACTAGCATCGTTTCATCGAAATTCGTTGAAATACCTGATTTGGTCAATATTTAAATTTTCAACAATTTTTTTTACAAAATTATTTATCTTTTCCATATCGAATGTACATTCGGTACGCTGCATATTTCAATAATTTTACATTTCTACTTGTTTTTTATCCAAGATAAACCTGGTCAAAATCTGGTTTAGCTAAAAGTCGAAGAATATATCATATAAATTACATTTGGGTCTAAATCATCGTCACCCGTATTTTATAATTCAAACATATTATAGTACGTAACAAAATCTAATATTTTACATATTTTTAAATAATATTTATATTATTATTTATCATCAAAAGAACACATTACGTATTAGAATATACAATACAAATAAAAAATTAACTATTTATATACGATATAGAATTATAATAATAAACAATGATATAAGAACAAAAACTCTTGTTATGACTAAAATATTATGTATAATACCTATTTGCATACATGTTTTAATTCGTTTAGTGTAGGTATTGTAAATTTATTAATATTATGTATACTATACGTTTATCGATTAATAATTCCACATTACATAGTATATATTTCATTGACGACACTAAATACGTAAATATAACATTAATAGCTTTGTATTACAACTTAGTAACAATGATCTATATATTCGTGTGCAAATTCGCAGTGTTTTCCGAAAAAATATTTATTAATACTTTAATGTATTCTTTTTCAAGTTCATCCCGTTGCTTTAATATATTTTTTAAACATTGAGAAATATTGCTTATTTTCGAGTTAATCATATTCTATGTTTTATAACTGTTTTATTATTTCAATACAAAAATATTTATCACAGCTCCAACATTTAAAACTATACTAAATTAATAACTTACACATCGAACCGAACGAATCAGACGAATCAGCTAAACATACACAGATCTAAAATTAAATTTGTTTCTATATTGCGTATCTATTTTTATTCCATACCAATTTATATAAACGTTATATCTATGTTGAAATAAGATAAATATTTTGTTATTCCAATAGGTACATCGTATTACTTTCGTGGGAGAAAAAAATGCTGAATTTGCTGTTAATTTTCTAACAAAAACCAATCACGTTTTACTTGTCCGTATATTCTATACCAATAAAAATCGTTATGTGTTGTGTTCACAAGATTTTATGATTCCCGAAAAAAAACTAGAGTTCAATAATTTGGTATTTGTGATAAGTTATTTAAGTAAAAAAATAAAAAATTATTGAAAACATATCATGATACTGAATAAAATAAAACCAATTAGGAGTTCGGGTGGTTTTGAGTTTTAACGATAGAAAAAGTAATTTCTATTCTTATAAAAAATAATTAAAAGAATATAATTTTAACGAGTATATTTATGTATAGTCGGAGAACCTAATCATAAATAATTACTGAAATTTCGAGATATCGCTACCAAGAGCTGTTGAAAACAACCGAAGTCGTGTAATAAATTACTGTTCTCCAGCGTAAAGCTTCGCGCGTGCCTACTTATACATACACACTACGCGTTGGTATTTTTTTTATAATTAATTATCGTTACTATCATACAAACACTCGTGTCACTCGAAGTAATACAGAAATCTGCACTTGTATTTATACGTATATACATTGTGCGTGTGTGTCGGTATGCTGTATAATTTCTTCTTCTTCTTCTCAGCTTACCGGTCCATTAAGGACCATTGCTGCCTTCAACAGGTTTCTCTATCTCTCTCTATTGTAAGTCAACTCATATGTCACATTCTGATCTATGGTTTTCAAATCCTTGGAAACTACATCGATCCACCAGGTTCTGGGTCTTCCTAAAGATCTTTTTTTTGTATAATTTACCGATATTTATACGTTAGTATACGTAGTGTGTATATAATTGAGAAACAAAATACGCCGGAGAAAAACGTAAACGTATAAACGTAGATAAAACAGATAAAATGAAAAATTACATAGATACAAAAAAAAAAAAGGCAGCGTTCTGCGATATCGGATTCCGGACGAATACGAATTCCGTTACGAATTAACGTTATAATATATATATTGATATTGACCGCGCGGACCCGAAAGGACGAAAGGTGATTTAATAAGACGCGTGCGGTATATTCTTAACGCGCCGACAAAGGAATAATAATTAGGAATAAACGTACCGTCGAACATTCGGCGAGTGACACGCGTCGCGGTGTGGATAGTGATACGTGGTAGACATCGAGGTTTAAGGTTAATGGAAAAACTTGACGGAACACGATTAGCGAGCGATGCGAACATTCAAATAAATTATAATTAAGACGATCGTATCGTCAATATGATGCGGCAGGCCGGAAATATCAATCGTATCGAATAAAATGTTTTCAACGTTTAAAACAAAACGAAATACGAAACAAAGAAAGTTTTAGAACATTTTGCAAAAACGGTGCATTGCGAACCACAAGGATGAAATAAGAAAACCAATAATTGAAGGGTTACGGGGAAAACTATAAGAGGCTTATACGTATATCTCGGTGAAAATACGTTTATATCATTAAAATCTAAATACACTTATCAAAAAATATACCATCGAAATAAACCACCGGTCAACAAATTCAAATTAATTACAAAAATTGTACTTCTCTACATTTATATGTATGTTACTACAATTACTATAACTCTTCAGGATTCTTAAATAAGTTGCTAATATATCTGTTGCATCGATACAGTTATACGGTATTTTATGAAACACAATATTACAAAATTATTTAAACAAATTCAATGAAATAATTGACCTACAGTTAAGAGATTTTGGTGCTTTTAATATCAATCTGCATCTCGATTGTTTTTACCTATCTAAATATGACATCTAGAGTACTTTTGTTAAAAAAATTAATTCACGTTATTTTACTTATCGAATTCTTCTATACGTATAACTAATTACGTCCGATATAAATCAGAGAGTTTTAGCAACGACATTACGCGTGTAGAACGAGAAAGAAATGAACGCAATTCTATACGTTATGACCTCTAATTGCTGATAATTATTGGTGTGTATGTGTTTGCCGAGAATAAAAATTATGCACAAAAATTGCGATGAGAAAATATAACAAAAACATTTTAGTCGACGAATAATCCAATCGATAATAATACCAAGTTGATCGACTCAGGAAACATTCATGAGATCCAGTGGGTAATCTCATTTTCGCGACCACCATAGACGCAAGTAGCACTGTATGCTATAGTGTCAGACCTACATTAAATGTTATTAAGATTACGTTTTCTCATATTATACATATATCTTGAGAAATGAAATATTTTTTATCATTATGTAGCATATTTTCTTCAGGTTCAATGTTCGAAATAGTGTTTAAATGTTATATTTTCGTGATAGTGCGAGTGTACGTGTTTAATTGTTTACGCGGAAAAAAAAACCACGACTAAAAGAATATGAAAATATTCAGCGTAACTACTAATAAGTTTTAAATCGTTTTCCCATTCAGATCGCAATGATTCAAACGCGTAACATCGATGCTTAGACTTACGATACCGATTCATTTACGGACGGCACACATATCTAGACCTACATTATTACGACGATTATGAAAATAGAACACTGGACTACGCATATGCGTATATGCGCGCTCAATAAATAATGCATAATGCACAGTGCAGCGATCGAAATGCATTCCGTTGCAGCGAACCGCTAAACCACTCATGCAGCGGTAAAGTTCGTCGCCGTGCTTAGGAACGCGTTTACGCGGCCCGCCGTGCGACTGCAGCTCCTCGTGACCATCGCAGGAAAACGTCATCTGACGTGCAAGTTTTGAACGTGCGCCTGCAGCGAAGCACATCGCATTTCGAAGAAGTACTGAAATTGGTACGGTCCTTTGAAATCTTTCAGTTTTTGTATCGTCCGTTTTCCCTCTTCTATCGTCTGTTCGGGAGGACCGGAAAAAAAATAAACACGTTTGATTTTAATATTTTAAACGCACTCTACGCATTCCAATGAAAGTAACACGTATGCAATCTAACACGGATACGCGCGAGTTATGATCGTTTGCTTGAACATGGGTGTATTTACGCTCATAAAAACATTAACCGCTGTTGTAAACTCTACGGTACACGGTTTTATTTTGAAGTCATCACCAAACACATTTGTTGAATCTTTTTCGTTTGATTTGCTCGACCAACGCGAACCTATACAGCAACTAAGTATTTTGCACAAATTAATAAAAATCCGACATCGACCAACGCTTTTATTGAATGGCTTCAAAATAAAACTGTACGTCGACCTCGTTGGCCGAGTTCGTAGGCGTAATTTTCACTTTTCCGACAAACATAAGTTAATGTACCTAAGGTTGGGTTTCGGTGCAGGAAGAGTAACAATTCTTTCCCTAATTTTAATCTTAACGGATTTTATTCAGTTGTATACAACATTGTGTTTCTGTCGAAGATTTTCAGTTTCTCCTTTAAGCTATATATATATATATATATATATATATATATATATATATATATATATACTTTCGTGAATCTTGTTTTCAATGCAATCGGTTTTCAGTTTACATTTCTAACCCTACTTTTATACTATTCCGTCGTTGCGGAAATTTCGATTGACGTATCATTAACCTGACCGTATTCTATGCGGTCGTATCGGCTTGTAATTTGTGCGCGTGCTTACCTCAGGGTGACCGATCTGCTCGACGGCAAGTTCGTAAAGGCCATACACGTACAGGTGATCACGTCTCTTGTCCCGGTCCATGCGTTCGACGATCTCGGCCAGAGAACGACTAGCGTAGTGCAGGCCCACTGAAGCCCCTAAAGCTTTCCGGCAGATGACGGTCAACAGTTGTTTCGCGAACCGTGTCGCATCGTCGTCGTCATCCGACTCGTCGCAATCTGCGGAATACGGGTATTTTTTAGGTATCTAACAACAATCAATGTATGCGATCTGCCCGTTTTGTATACATTTACGATTCATCGGATTCATAATACACACGAGAGACACCGAATATCGGTTGTAATTAAATGAAAAAGAACCGCACAACGTTTTTTAGTCATATCATATTATCTTATAACAGATATCAAATTTCGGCCGATTAGAGATCATTTTCTTTAAGAGATTTTCCAAGACCTAATAATAATTGATTTTTTTTTAAACGACATTTTATCGTAATCGAATTCGCATAGATACATTATTTTGATTTTTACGCTGCATAAATATTATACAAATCGATCCACAAAGTTTCATTATACTCGCCTTGATAATGGTATATTTTCAAAGTTGAAAAATATATTTCCATCTCAGAAAACGTATTAACGGGAGTGATATCAACTGACCAACGTATAGCAAAAAAAAAAAAAAAAATGCGATTTTTTTAGAGCAATTACAATGAAAAATAATAGCTCGAAGGGTAATGATAGGCGGTTAACAACCCCGCTAGAGCACATTCACTACTATACATTTGGACTTATACCATTTCGATAATTCCATTTCCTAGCTGCGATATAGTTTTCAATTTAAAATAGGTAAGAGATGACCAAGGCTTCCGAATAATAAATTGCATCCAATTACACTCATGAGTAGGGCTGGGATTTTGATACAAATGCATTTTTTTCTAATGCTCCAACATGTAGATCCGTAAGCAGAAAATGTGTTTCAAGTGATACTGATTAATTTAACCTAATTTTTATTTTGAATTTTCTTGCATTACATTTTATTTTTTAACTTCATATGTATTTTTATGGCATATTTTGCTGTATTTATGGCATATATTTCCAAGTTTTTAAAACATTTTTCAGAATTTATCTAATAATTTTTAAATACATTAGAGTATTTATTCACGCGTTTCGAAGTTTGTTCGCTCAAAACTTGCACTTGTTTAGTATGTAATCTACTAAATTGATAAACTAATAAATACGAGCATATCGGCAAATGTACATATTTTCTAATAAAAATAGAACACAATAAAAATAATCGAAAGAAATTTTTCTATTTACAAGAAGTCCAACGACGATCATATTTAAATAAAGTTAAATAAAGTATAAACATTACACAAATAGGTACCTATTTTATAATTGTTAAATAAATATGATTAAATATGTTTGGTAAAACGACGTTTATCCTCTATAAACTATAATAAATACAATTTTTAGCGCATTTTTATAGTGTATTTTTTTATAATTTTTAAACCATTTTTGCATTTTTCTTAGAGAATTTTTTGCTATTTTTTAGAGCATTAAAATTTCCACCGTACTCATGAGTGTTTAAAATACTAAGGATGAAGATGAAAAAATTCACAGTACACACTATTTATTACTAAAAATAACGATACTGTTGATTTCTAATCGTTAAGACTTAATAGAGGTATTCTACTACGGATTGATGTTCAAAAGGTTCGAATGATGAAAAAATTCGTAAAACAAATAATTATAGAAGGTATTCCATTGTAGTAATTTTAAACTTAATTTTCTCCATACAAAAAAAAAAAAAAGATTATAGAAGATGTTTTTTTTTATACATGGTTGCAGAACTAAAAAGACTGCAAGTCATTATTTGACCCCTTCACTTAACCCCAGTTAGGGAGGAGTGTGAGAGAGATTATTTTTAAGGACAGATTACAAATGAAATTTCTGGGATTTCTTTTGACCCTAAACACGTACTATACACACATACCGTCGTATACTTACGCGATAAAGAAAATAGGCATTTATTTTTTTCATCATTTTTCCTTGATAATATTAATTGGTTTTCGCGTGTACGTTGTTGATGTAGATAATGTTATGATGTACACAGAACATTCTATTAGAATTTTATAATAACAAAGACCAAGAATTATTACAATACCCATATACCCGTAGGCTATATTAATCATCACACCTTGTTATACACATCCACCCCTCCACTTTCTCGAGGCTTCTCTGACCATCTATCGTTATTCTGTGAATAATCTACTCGTAGTGAAATTCCGGCACAATAATTAAATCTAACATTAATAAAGTTCACACCGCGACCTTCGTCTCTCGGTAATTTATATTTGCGTATAAATCTCACCGTATAGTTTTGGAAATTTCATGTGCATAATATTTTTATAAATAAGTAATGCACCGTCGCACGTCGGCGTATATTACTTATTATTTTTCACTGGGCACGAAAACAAATCGTTAAAAACAATCATCAGCCGGCTTCTCGTTCCGACGCAATACGTATCTCGTGCACTTTTACTACGCACTATATTATTTAAATTACTAATAACTCTAGGAATCTTTACGCATATTGCGTATAGTAACCATCGTGAGCTGCTGCGAGGGCCATGTCCATAGACCTTGCATAAAACTTCACACATACCATCATATACACCTGTGTGTAGTATAGGCTTTATTGACATTTTTTGTTCGATTTTGATGAACAACGTAAATATTTTTAGTTATTTTTTAGTTATTTTTATTATTTGTTAGGGTATTCGGTTGTCTAGTTTCCCGAATAAAACACTGGATTAAATTTAGTTAAATTAGTCGACGATAACGTTTTGTTTAAACACAAAACAAATATTTAGTTTTAAATAGAGAAAAAATAGTTAGATATAAGATTCAAACTTATGTTAGTTGCAAGCTATATATTATCTTACATAGTTATCTAAACATTGTCCATTGTACTTGTCGTAAAAAATATATTAAAAAAATATAATATATACATGATGAAAAATGAATTTAATGATTGTAATACTCACATCACTAGAAACAAATTAGGAAATTTTTATATTAATTTGTATAAGACTGTGGGAAAAAAAAATTATAACTTATGTTGTATGTTATAATCATAAATCTATTATATAATATAAAAATTGTATATTATGTATAAATGATAAACTAGATGATAGTGCTCTTAAATCTTTTTAACTCACGTGTAATATGCATATATTATTGAGAAATAATAGTACGCATATTCCTGAGTCGTATAAGGAAAAAACGTACTATTGCAAAACCTTTAATGGGCGCCACGCGCGAATTTCAAACAACCACAACAACATCATCATTCGAGGCCAAGGGCAACCAAGTGATGAAACAACACTTGGATATGAAGACCAAGACCAAGGACAGCCACGTGTCGAAAACAACACGATTAAAACAGAATCAGCAGAGTATATAAAGGCTCCGTTTCAACACCAACGGCAGACGTGTCCAGCTATCAGACTAAGCCCTTCCGAGTTGCGTCTCGATATTGTTAGTGCACGAATTTATAATTTATATTTTTGTATCTATGTCTGTGTTTATTAAAGTATTTACAAGTGTTTGAAATAATTGTTTAATCAAATTTATCCCGATCCAACAACATCATTACGATAGGTACCTGTTTTTATTGGGTACCACGTAACACACGGTTCACTTTTCTTACCATTTATTTTTTGCGACCTATTTCAATTTCGTTAGTCATGGAAAGCAAAAAAAAGTTATAATTGTTTAATATATGCTATTGTGAAAAAATTTTGCTTTTATAACTGCTTTTATAAAAATGAATATTTTTCTAGGTATTTAGGTATTATTTAATTTTTACTATAAGCAATGATAAGAAAAAAAAAAGCATGTAATAATACAGAAAAAATAGTGTATGTAATTATATAAAAAAAATAGTGCTATATTTGATCCTGATTGTTTTCACAGAAAATAATCTATTTTATGCTATGTAAATTATACGTTGACAAAAGAGTTTTATCGATTTAGTCGGGCTATGGCTATACCATTACTTAATTTGATGTTTTTTTTTATCTTCTACAAATATAAAATAGTACGGTTTCGGGTTTAATCGAAAACTACTTTATCTGATGTCATACAACTTACATAATAAAATACATAAATTTTATAATTTTATAACTGAAGAATTGAAATCGCCACCTAATCACTATACAATATATTCGAAGAGATACATTATTATTTTTGAACAACTCTTTAATATTGTAAATTATTATTTCGTTAAAAAGTATTAATATATTTCGGGTTATACATGTATATATAAATATGTCAACTTACTGTCAAAATGTTATTAGTATTATTACTTTTTTATTTACGTTATTATACATTGAAATTATTTTTGCTGATTATTTATGCATATATTAATAAAATAATACGTCCACATAATAAATATTCGCGTAAGAGTATGAATATTTATGCATGTTATAAAATAAATTTTTTCACATGCGTGTTCATGAGTCTGAAGTATTTTGGTCATGACATTTAATACCGACATGATTTCGAGATAACTCTTCTGTTTGGACGTATCATTAGCGAAATTAATATAATTTGTTAACGTAAAAAAAACCCCGAACGGTCATATAAGTAATAAAACATAGTCGCCTAAAAGCTATAAAAATGTTGTAAACATTTTTAGTTTTCACTCATTGCACGACGATGACGATGGTGCTTCGTTTTCGCCGATATCAAATATTCTATGTAATTTGTTCTCAATTTTTCCAAATCATCCGAAACATCTGATGATGGTTGACCTCTGTCGGAAAATATTCGAACTTGACGAAGTATAACGATTTATATGACATACGGTATAAACTCGTTAAGAATTTGATTATGTTCCGTGATAAAGTTAATATTAATACAGATTATGTAAATGTAAACGATATTATCTTGTGCTCTATAGAAGTCTAATTTTTGAACACTCCGATTCCACAGAAATTGTAAATTTTCTCATTAAATTTTAAAAACAACAAAATAACAATTTTAAATTAAAATTATTTACCACTAAAATGCATAAAAATGTTATCACTGTTAATGCAAGTGCCGTTTTTACAGTCTATGCGTTTATTGGAATAAGTATTATATTTGTTTTATAATAATTTATGGATAAATTTAAACTTCAACGCAAAACATTTTAATGAGTACGTTGCATGTATCCATTAGATTATTATTATTACTGGAAACTAATTACTGATAATTAATGAATAATCTAATTCAATAAATGGTCTTAGTAGTTTAATTGAGAACCGTAATTAATCATTATATAAAATCGTATCGCATGTAGCTTAGAAATTCGATAAAAATAAATACACCATTTAAAATGTTCCATAGATGTACTTGGATTAAAAAGTAATAAGAGGGTGTTTCGTTTAATATTGCGTCTCTATTTTACTGTCTATAGTCTATTTATTTTGAAATGAACAACAAAGTAAAACAATAAAATGTTTAAAATAAATGTTTCCCTTTTGTTTATAGTTTATTTATTTGAATTTGACACAAAGAAAACAAATAAGAAACGTAATTTCGTAACTTTCATAATTTAATTAAAACATTGTAGGAGAGTGTTAAAGTAAGTGTGAGTATATAATTTACCAAATGTATTTTGTATTTTAGACATAGCCAAAAATCGATTTTTATTTTACCTTAATGTATTATTATCGGTTTATGTTGGTATTAATGAAACGAGTATATCTAGTGCACGAATATTACGAATAACTTTTTATTTTAATGATATATTAAAAGACATAAATTAAAAATCGCAAACAAATTAAAGTTCTTTATATAGATACATATAATTTGATTTGGTCATATTTGTTGAGAAATTAACTAAAATGAAATATTCATTGCGTTTCATAAAATCCATTAATATTCGTATTGAATAAAAAATGTTTATCGATGAAATACATTGCTCATATAATATAGTTATGATTTTTCAACGACTAAGATAGATAAAAAAATTTTAATTATATTTTTTTTAATTCTTAGTTTTATTTTTAAATATTTACAAAATATACCAATGAAAAATAAGTATTCGTTATTCATATGTACGTTAAAATAACGAACAACGAGAATAATTGTTAAGAAATGGAAGGTAAAAAATATTGATCGACTCATCAATATTGCAAAAAGCTTTATCGACAGTATTCGATTGTAGTGGATTTTGCAGTGCTGTGTCGGTTGAAAAAAAAATATTTTCAGAGAAGATATAATTAAAATGTATATGAGTAAGGTCTGATTACGTGCGTTTATTTTAATTGGAAAAAAGTTATGTTTCATATATATGCGTCCGGTATACGCTTTTTGAAACAAAAACATCAAGCTGTATAATTATAAATAGATTGTTTTTAAATTAAATGATGTATACACTTCATTCCTTGCATCTTTTCGGGCAGGCCAGTGACTGTCAAAGATTTTAATAATTTATGCCAAAATCACGGAGTGTAATTGAAATTTAGTGTTTTCAGTTACCCCATTATGGTATGGCCGAATTAAAAATTCATAAATTATTAGTATTATTATTTTACTAGTTACCTTTTACAATATACATATGTGTGTCTGTAGTGTATGGCATAATGTAAACGAGTAATTATATTATTTTATCGCTTTTCAACTTGTACATGATGTGTACATATTGCGCTGTATAACACTACCCCAGATGAAATTATTGACAGAGCACCAAATGTTGACAAAAATAATATTTTCAATGAATCGGTCGAATGCAGGCTTTGCGTTTGGTACGGAAGTCGAGACTTGACGTAGGTATAATTGAATTTAAACGTTTTGATAAATTATGGACAAACACTGTGTACAAATCGTAAAATTAACGTTATGCGCAGAACTTTCATATTCAATAATATCCGGTTCTACAAACGGTAACTAATTCCGTCTTCGAATCGAAATCATCGCGGAAAATTAAACGACAGTGTGCGTGTAATTTGATTGAACATTTTGAGAAAATGAGCAGTGGCATTTATTAGATTAACGTCAACCAATTAATTAAATAGATTATAATAATTAATAAAATAAATATAACCGCGTATACTTTGCTTACAATTTTTTTTTTTATTTGAATTCTTATATGTTTCTTATATGTTCCTAACGCCGCGATTACTCGTCCTTTGAATCGGGTTACATACATGCTCGGAAAAAATAAATATTGTTTCTAGGCGTCGCGAGCAGAAAGATTTCGGGAAGCATTGCCGTTTATCGGGTTCACAGAATCGTCTCGAGAGCGAACCAGGGCCAATGGCGAAATCAGGGAGTGGGAGGGTCAATTGTTTTGTCATAAAAGTACATCAATATTAATACGGAAAACGTAAGTTTTTAAACGAATTGACAGTAAAAAAAAAAAAAAAAAAAAAATGATAACAAAAGGTAAACGGATTGGGCCGTAAGCAATCGTTGTTGATATCGCGTCAAGAGTTCAAAACAATTACGCTTTGTTTTGCTGCAACCGGGTACGAGGGAAAGAGTAACGTCCGGGAGGCGGATTTGACGTCCAGAACCCTAACCGCGATCAAGCCACTGGGGCCGGTGACGTTTCGTTCCGCGGTGGCGGCTTACCCGCTAGGACGGCGCGCAGCGAGTCAGCGGGCCACCTGGCCGCGCCGTACTTGACGTACAGCATCTCGTAGACGATCAGACGACAGCGCCGGCCGCATCTGTCGTCACCCGCCACCCCGATCGTCCGCCGCAGAGCCTCGGCCACCGGCCGCTTTCTGTCCATCACGAACCTGCCCACCATGTCGCGTTCCGCTCTCTGCCACCGGCTGTCCACCGACTCGTCGACCTGCCGCGACATCAGCAACCCCGTGGCCGCGTCGCCCGCCGCACCTGCGCACACTGTACCCGCGTCCGAGCGTCATTTAATCCGTACTAAGCAATATTATTAAGCAAATATGTCACGGCCAGAGTTCGTCGGGTCTCGTGCATTAGTGTATAGTTTTTTTTATTTTTTCACACGGGAAAACTCGCTCAGGGTACGAATCCGTTTCGGCACAATAACCGTGCCCGGCGAAAGATTTGGATTCGGGAAAATCGATTTTCGTAATTGTGTTTTTACGAATCCACGAAGATGTCAAAGCTTTGAACTTCACGAGATGTGTTATTTTTTCTTTTGGGTGTTAAAACACATTTATTATACCAAAAGAAATAAAATATAACTTTGAAAAACACGAATGGGAATATTTCTTGACATTTCAACGTTTTCAAAGTGCACATTTTTTCCAATGCATAGTTCAATGCATTACTAAATGCTTATTTCTGTGCTTGCAGCGCGTAAGCTTACGAGCTTTGTTCGTTGGTTTTCATCATAATGTGCGAGCTTTGAACCGATTAGAATGTCAATAAAATTAAAAAAAAAAAGGAATATAATCGTTTTATACGCTCAAGAAACTATAAGATATGTAAAAAAAATACTGTTTAAAGTTGTACTGGGGGCTCAGGTAAATAAGAAGATAAAATTGGTGTTCTGCATATTGGGCATGATATGTGGAATTCATATGCGCGGTTTGGAATGGCGTGACGCCATTGAAACAAAACATCGTAACAAAGCAACGTGCAATAATTATCGTCAGCCGAGTAGTGTTGATATACGTTATATTTAATTAAATCATTGTTTTTTTATACATAAAACGATACCATATACTAAGCATATAGTTTCTAAATTAAATTATACGTATTTACGCGGAATTTGCATAGCGGTGAAAAGTTGCCGTTTTACAAAAAGTACGAAAAAGTGTATAGTAAACTATAATTTAAAATAAAGTGTAAAACGATAAATAAAAACATTTCGTGAGCACAGTTATTGAATCTAATAAAATAACTAACTTCAGGTTAAAAAGGGAAAAAATGAAAAATTGATTTGCTTTGTCGAAAACAAAAAAAATCCTCTTTCTTTTCAAAGTGTATTGTCACTTTTTACAACACTATTCAATAATAATAATTTGTAACTTGGAATATTTAAAATGCATGGATAAAACATCGTAATTTTATTATAAATACAAATTTGAGGAAATAAAATATAAAAAATTTTGGAATTAGGTTTTTTGGTATTTTTTGGTTATAGTAGATTACTCTAGTTCCGACTAAGATTTTATTGTTGCTTAATCTTAACAGAGATATTAGGATTAATAATAAATAATAATTTTTTTTTGGTAAATATTTAATTTTTCGTCTAATCAATGCAACTGCGATATCTTATTCATTACCGAGTTTGAACAAGCGAATTAGCTATACTAAACAACAGGCAAATATGATTTTCAACCATTCTACAACCTAGCACTATTCAACTTTTATAAATTTATTCGATATTTTTATTTGAACAATAACATTATTCAATTCATAAAGTCATGAGTTTGATATTTAATAAAAAAAATTACACTTTGTTCCGAGTGATTCATAAACAGAAATTTCATTGTATAACCTAAAATTAACCCTATTCCGTAGAGGATTATTTGAGGTAAAAGTAAACTATCGTAATGTTCTTATATTATATTCGATCGATCCTAATCAAATGATGGTTTGTAAAGAATATAAGTTTCTAATTTTCCGAAGAGCATTTTTCATTTTTATTTGTATCATTCCTGTAATGGGTTCGTCCCGTAATGCAGTATAAAATAAAATAAAATATTACATGGCAAATTTTCTTAACTTAAGATTTATTGACCTTTAAATTCTTGTGGTGTAATATTTTAGTGAATTTAACGTTGACAGATAAATATGTACAGAATCATAATATAATAAATCATAAATTTATTTTTCGGAAATTCGGACTTATACGTCTGTATTATACTCGTAAAAAAATTAAGTGGTCAATTTATTTAATAGTAGAAGTGATACATTTTGAACGTCAACATAATGCTTAAAAATCGATTACTAACAAAAATGTAGACAATACCTACACGATGGGTAAATGGTTTACTTAGTATAATATAATATAATGTAATATAACAATAAAGTAATGGAATATTAACTAATCGTGATATTTTTATTACTTAAAGCATTTATTTCACGGTGTTAAAAAGAAGAATGGAACACAAATTTATAAATCGCATGTAAATTAATTCATTTACTTTTTATAATTATTTATTTGACCCATAAAAACACGCGACCGTTGTTCGATCGATCTACTGTGGCTTATATAAATAAACGGATCAGATTACAATAATAATGTAACAAAAAAAGAAAAAATTAATAATAATTTTCATTTTAACGCATGAATTATGACGGTTCGTTCTAAAACCTTTTTTTTACCTCAATAACTGTTTTTAGACTTGTGGCATAAGAAACTGAAGGTATGTAATTAACCTACAAGTTTTCGAATTGTTCATTTCAATTTTAAAGTCTTATACTTATATCGAATTAAGCACCTTAAAACCTTTTACAATTTTTCAGTCGCATTACAAACTTGTCATCGTGAAGTATCTCTTCTGTTACAAATTTATACCATCTATTTATACAATTTAAGAGGCGTAAAACACGTCACGATGACACTTTAAAGGATGGCAGCACAACATTTATTTTGATTTTTTTAATACCCATTAAGTAGTAGGTATACAAATTGTTGTATAGAGTAAATCACGAAGTGACGAGAGTAATGCATGCACACCGAAAATAATTAAGTTCGATAAGACGCCATTAGCGACCCTTTTCAAATTAGTTTAGTAACTAGTCACGAAATGAACTGCATTTTTACACATACTATCCGTTTTGGATCACCCATTTAGGTCTTAAAGGGCGTTTATGATTTACGCGATTTCGTAACCGGTTTAGGAAATCCTTATAAAATTTTACAGTTACTCCTAATATCATTAGTAATTTTCAGTATGCAACGTTCCGCGAAATCGTCGAAAACTGATTTGTTTGTAATGCCAGAAACGGTCCGATGGGTTTTAGGGTGAGTGCAGAATTTCGGGAGATCTCATATTTTATTATTCTTAGAGATCTTATATCTTATTTTATTTTTATAACATTTTATATACTTCAAAGTCTTTGGTACAGTTTTGATTTTCGTCGATAATTACAATAAATAACCCTTTTCTGACGAGAATATTATTGTGAGATTATTTATAGATAAAATTATATTCATGTTTCATAATATTCGGGGCCCGGTGAGACAGCACTGCTTGCCCCCATAGGGCCCGGCATTGTGTTATGTTTTATATAGTTGATAATCCTAAGTGTTCATCTTAAATAGGAATGCATTTTTATGTAAAATCATAGTGTTCGAATTAGAATGTTTTCTATGTTATGATTACTATACAATTAATAAAAATGTTGCTTTAAAAATCTGCGTAAGTCACCAATTTTTATTTCATTTTTTATAGCACAGCAGTCATATTTAGCTTACGTCGCTATTCCACTCCACTACCTCTAAGATTTAATAACGATTCCATACCTTGGAAACCTTCTGTCAAGTACCTCGGTATCACACTAGACAAGAGGCTAACCTGGGGGCCTCACATAGCTGCTAAATTACAATAAGCATACCATCGCCTCTCAATGTTATTTCTTATTCTAAACAAATCAATTATACATAAAAAATGTTCAATATTTAATTACAAGCAATTATTACGCTAACTAATTATCTACGCTTCCCTATCTAGGGTAACTGTTCGACGAGACACTAAAAAAATTCAAATTTTCCAAAATAAAATATCTAGGATAATAACGAACACACCATGTTTCATACGTAACAAAAATCTACATAAAGACCTCTAAATTACTAAAATTCAACATCAAATAAGTAATAAGTGATCGAATAAGCTACAAATTTCCATAGTTAACTCCACAAATCAATAGTTTCTTTACACTTCAATTTACATATACGTCCATCACCTCAAAAACGTCTTAAACGCGGGCGTCCGCATCATCTTATACGTTAATTACTATTAAGTAAATTACTATAACCCACTGAAATTATACTCTTCAACTAGATTATTATTATTGTCTAATAAACAATGTCTATATCCAACCAACCTAACGTTTTATTATCGCTTGTTTTGCTATTATTATTATTATTATTATTACTTATAATTATTATCATATTAAAATACCCAACAATTAACGTTACTAATTATTCATAGATTTAGATAGCCTTATAGACTAGGAATATCTTATTATAAATTTATTTAAAAAAAAAAAAAATTAACTTTACACTATTTTCACTTTTCACTATTATAAGCTTGAATTTTATTTACATTATTATAAAAATGAATCGAGCTTTGAATATTCAAATGCGTAATAGTAGTTTTTTAGTTTAAATAAAAATGAGTAATTTGTGCTGTATGATAAGAACATTTTTAATACTCAAGAACTTTAAAGCATCGTTTCAAATTTAAACAGATGTTTTTGTTTCCCTGACTCATATTCTAACTATAAGCTCGTGCGGTCGTGCCATAAAATCAGAAAATAATGAACACGAGACCACATACCATTATATATGTAAATCGATTGAAAAAGTTCATATATTATACATAACCCTATTGGATAACTCTCAGTTGGTTTGCATGCGCAATGTCACCCCTCTCTATACAAATATTTTAGATAAAAAAAAAAAAAAAAAAAAAAAAATGAGAAATATTCAAATTTCTCTGATAAGCTACAAATTAGCCCTGAGAATTGAAAATTTTCATTTCGACGTATTATTGTTAGCGTTTATCGTGAAAAACATCACCGATTTGATCCCCTGAATATATACACAATACGGCAAATTTACGATATTATTTTGATACGAACATTTCAGAATTCAATGTCGCTCACAAGTTTACACTAATATTCAAAAACTTATTATGTTATTTGAAACTATACTGACATACTATCTATCAAAAAATCGATACATTTAATTGAATTATTGATCGAATATATGTTATGGATAAAATAACATTTATTTTTTAATACTTATCAACAGTACCTCATACAAAACTGTATTTTTAGTAAAGTAAACATTGCCTCAAAAACATATAATCGCATTATAAAATCGACATTAATGTCACTAGCTGGTTTTATTTTATTTATCATTCTTCGTCAAATATTTCATTTGAGTTATGTATAATTACAGTCGAAGCAAACGGTTTTAATCATTAATTTAATAGCTTATACTTTTTGTGAAACTTTAATTTATTTAAATTGTATTAGGTTTTCAAAATATTTAAAGTTTAATAGTGAACAGTAAAAATAAAATAATTATTCACTTTAACAGTGACTGTTAAATTGAAAAAATGTACCTTTCTAATGTACATAAATCACTAATATTTTTAAGCGGTAGTTAGGTTTATATTTAATTAAATTATATGTATTTTATTACTTAAATCTAAATGTTTATTAACGTATTAATGGTTATTTTAATTAGGAGAAAATAATACATATATTTTATAGGAATTTTTCTGTAAATCATATATATATTTAAATGATTTATGCCTACATTATTGTTTATTCGAATGGTCATTATAAGGAAAGTCTTAATTATTAATTCGTAGAGTAATATATTGTTAATTAATTATTCCTAAAATAAGATATCCGAACACTGCTGCTAATTATTTTAGTAATATGACGACATAGGTCAGAACGGATTGTTTTAGTCGATAAAAGATTGTTATTCCATCAAGTAACTTGACTGAATTACATCTTATAAATAAACCTGATATCGTGGAGTATCCCTTTGCCGGGTCGAATGTCTTAAGATCAAGAAGCAATTCGTAGATAATAATATCAAAAATAGCCGTGTTCTCTATAGGATTTAACAGATCACTTGTGCAGTGCCAGTGTACCGGGATCCAGAGGCAGCTCGTAAGCACCTTCTAGGGGAGAGGGGACCCCGTTAAAAACATTTTGCGGTGGGCGGGTGTTCGGATCAGTAGCTCAGTGTTCGGTAGTTACATAGCTACATAGTTAACGTTTTAAACGTTAAAGGAGCCGTAATGTATATATCGATCGAAGCCGGAACAATTTTTTCGGAGCATGTTGTCGGTTTAAAAATCGATCCGTCCCGGTATGGTGTAATTGTTCAAACCGCGTGTAGTAATGCGAACACGACTAGACGCTCGACCGTCACTAATATTACTAATAGTGCAGTGCTTACGTGCGGCCATGAAGTAGTGATACGGCCTCATCCACGTGTTGTCGGCGGCGACGCGGGCGAATTTCCGACACGCGGTCGTCCAGTCCAACCGAACGGCGTACATGAAACCCAACTCGTGCAGATACATGGCGCGCATGTTCACCAGACAACAGTCGACGATCGTCGATCCCGCTTCGTACGCCTGTATCGATCCGTCCAAGTCGCCCTTGAGATAACGCGACCGTCCGACGAAGTATTGCAGAGCCGTGGAGTTTCGGAATTCCTCGGGAGGGCCGAGCACCAGTTGTTCCGACTCGTCGACGTGGGACTGGTTTTCACGCGACTGCGGACCGTCGAACATGAAATCCGTGTTCCCCATCATGCGGTACCACGACAGGATACCCCTGCACACACACAAAGCTAGAGAGATCACAACACTCGACGGATCATCCTGGAAACATTTGTCGTCGACAAAATGCGACGGAATGTTTTCCCGATATCGGTTAAAATCACCCGCGTCCAGACCAGATTAACAAATGTACCAAACATTTATTAAAAATCCGACGGTGTTCGGATTAGTGTTGTTCGTGATATATTCGTTCAGTCCATCGTAATTGTTCAATAATACGGTAGTAATTTATAGAACCGTTAAAAACCTCGAAACGCAGACCCTTTGTTTTCGTCAGTGCGATTAAACGAAACGTTTACGCACTGTACAAGCGCGTAGCGTTGATATTTACCATGCTAACGGTGCGTGCACGTCGGGCCCGTTTTTGGCGAACGCCAATGCGTCTAGACCGGTTTGGCGATTTCCGCGAAAACCCAGCACTCCGATTACGGAGATGACGGTCGGAGGCAGTAGCGATACCATCAAGTTAAACGTCCCGTATCCCACACTGACCGCCGCCATCAGCCTGACCACGTCTTTGGGCATGATGTCCGACACGCTAGAAAAACCAAACACACTTAAAAAATAAAACAACAATAGCGCCCGCGAGTTGGTTATTCGAATGATGCGCCGTCTGCCGGTTACGATGGACATAGGCGCAACTAGGGGGGGGGGGGGGGCGCAAACATGGTTTTTAGCACCCGCATGTTCAAATGTAGCGCTACCCCTTTTTCTTTCCCCTGATCTGTACAACCTACAGTAATTGCAGTTAAATACCATTAAATTTTATTTTCAGCAATTTCAGCACCCCCGATATTCGGGCTCCAGTTATGACAATAGCTGCGCATCGTTAATGTATACATATATGGTCAACAGACCACGTGCGGTGGACGGTGACAATTATTGTACGCGTCGAATCGATCGCGCGACCACGCAAATCAAATGTTAAACCTCTGGGTTGGAGGTGGCCGTAGTACACGTGCATTGCGCAGCTACCGTTGTTCACTTTTCGCTACAAAAGCATTGCTCTACATTTCATTTTTGGTGGGTATAGACGTTATTTATAGAACGTACAAGTGTTCGGATGAACGGAAACTTATACCTGTTCCGTCGAATGGCTTCGAACGACGTGGTGGCCGACCGGAACATTCGACTTCCGATGTTCGACGCCGGAATCAAAGTGGCGGATTTTCTGCGTTTCAATACCGGAGGCCATCGCGGAGTGTTCTGACCTATGGAAAATAAATATATAACTATATATATGTATGGGAAAAAACGCTATTATAGATCAATTTTTGTACGTTTAAATTGTAGTCGACTTAAGAAAAACGTACTAAATCGCGATGATGTGGCGCGCCGTAAAAATAAGTTTACGGAAGTGGAAATGATGCACGTAAAATATTTGATTATTAATATGGCACAAGTCATTATTTTATTATTTTTAGTTTTGATTGATTTTTTAGCAAAAAAAAAAAAAAACGTATTCGATCGCACAAGAGAAACGAAAAAGTAATTGTTTTCACCATCATAAGTTTTCATCGCTTAACAATTAATGATTAACATAATACGATTGTTTTTTACAGTCATCTGCACGTTATTTATCCTGTTTACGTTATGGTTAATGTATTTTCTAATAATAATAGTTTCGAATCGAAAACATTTATGTACTAAAGTTGTAAGATTTACTGTGCATTAGTTGAGTACATACTTTAATAGATTTTTGAGGGATTTTAGGATTTTTTTTATTTGTACTGTCATTGTTTTGCTCCCCATAGTATTAGCCAAAAAATTTTTTCAATCAGTGGCACGATGTGAATCATCGTATTATTTTTAAAACCCTTTGTTAAAATATCGCACAACACCAATCTACTCGGGAAATTATTTTTGATTGTTAAAACGGAAGAAAATTGTTTTTCGTTTCCAGCTGCAGCTCGAATCACGGGAACCCACGAGTTTTGCTCTAACAGCCAAATGGCCTTAAAATCAATACGTCACATACAGTATGGCTTTATTCCTCCTGCGGCGAGATACTGTTTATCTATCTATCTATCTATATATATATATATATATATATATATACAACAATGACTGCAATTAGCTAAAAGGAGGGGTCTTATTGTTACATCGATCTCGTCTGCTGTTATTCACTGCAATACAAGAGGGTGAAATAATACGAAATTGTCAGGGCGAATTCGAAAAGATCACGAGCGCGATTCGGGGGCGTTGTGTATGTAGGCTCTAACGGACCTGACGGATTCAAAGGGATACGGAAGGTGGTGCAAGTTATGAGTGTAAATACGTGTACCGTACACGATGTACGATGATAAAACGTTTAATGACAACGAATTATTGTTTTTCACAACATGTATACGATAAAGTGGTGTGTTGAAGAAATTTTTATTGAAGAGTAAACATTTATGTAATATATCCTTAATTTATATTAGTAGCTTTATGTAATTCACCAAAACACTAAGTTTAATATTTTACAAGTATACGCTTGTACTTGTAATTAGTTACAATATTAAGTACAATATTATTAAACGTAGTGCGGCAGAAACCATCGGGTTAGTACTGACTCACCATCAGGGCTGGACTGGGCAGGCGAGCTACCGGGAGTTTCCCGGTGGGCCGGTTGTTTGAATGGGGCCGCTTGTACTCGCTAGAAAGTTTTTTTTTAGGTTTATCGGTCTAGGCTCATTGTGACGCTTTTCTGATGCGATTGCATTACAAATTGTCTAAAGTTAAATAAACTGTCTTTTAATTTTCAATAATAATATTAAGTGCTCAAATTCTCAAAATAATATACAATAATTTTATATGAATTTTTTTTAGGTTGTTTTTATACCTTGGTATGTTTAAGTGGGCCGTTTTTTTATTTTTCAGTAGAAATTTTTGACCCAGTCCGGCTCTGCTCACCACCCAGTCCCGTCGTTAGAGTACAAGCAAGCTATGCGTTGCTTTAGGCGGTGTAACATTTTAAAGAAATTGAAACGGCAAATTTGTAATATTAAATTTCCAAAAAAGACAACAACTTAAATCAATCGAATCAATACATTTATAAAAAAATTTTAATCGTAATATTTTGCATGTAACTATTTAATTTAGTATCTTAAGAGCAGCATTAAAATTTTCGCCTTAGTGAGGAAAATATTTTACGACGGGTCTGTCACCACCAAATGTTGAAGGAATAAAATAATACTTTCGCCATGCCACTGATATAATAATAACGATATAACAGACGTACGTGATTTTGGCTAAACGTTACAATAACGGGCTCTTTGTTCAGTTGTAAAAATCTTATTATTTATAACGGATTCGGGGGAAACAATGCTTGTTTTCGTTTCGTAATACCCGTAAAGGAAACCGCCCGTCCCGTTGGTTTTTCTGATAATGACAGAAATCATACGTGAATCAGTTTGCTAAAGTTTAACACAGTAGTTCTCTATCATTTTAAAATAGCCATGGGAATCTCTTTTTCTTCGTCAATCTCCGAGAAGAAATTTTTATTTACCAATCAAATATCATACAAATCATTGTTTAGCGTTTAAAATATTTTAGGTTGTGCTGCGATCAAGTAACAAATTGAAAAAAATTTTGTATTACGGAGAAGACAAGAATGTGGGAGCTGCGAGAGATTAGTAAAGACGGTGGATGCGTGCGACAGTCGTTTTCTAATTATAGAGCGTTATATTTGTTACACGGAGAAATAAAGTGAATTATTTTGTGGACTTTGTGTGTGTTTAATTAGTGTGTACAACACGAGCTATTCCATGGACCATCCAGTAAAGTTGTTGTTAATAAGCCTAGGTTTAACTGATTTACGTATATTAGATCTGCACTCGGGCAGGGTTCGGTTGGCGCACGTACGGATGAGCGCCCTGGCGTAGGAAGTGTAGCCGGGTTTCCAATACACCGTGCACTGTGTTCGTTTTTGAATAATGTCATTCGGTCAGTGGTTACGTTCGTGTACGTTACGGTTATAATCAAGGCTCGACATTTAATGCACTAAATATTACTCGGATATGCGCGTACATATGCGTTAAAAACATAATACCTAATAATAACCATAATATGCAGTAAAAATTTGGAAAACATGCAATTTTTTTTAATATTTAATCAAACATTTTACTTGTACATTTTAAGCCTGAATTAAAGCCAAAATTTGAGTCGTCCCCCCCCTCCTTAAAGTAAGTCTAAATATGCCTCTGTATGACCATTGTTGACCACGCGTTGAAAAGTCGAGTGCATTCCAATATCTCGGATTGGAGGAGAGCGCAACACCGACCACCCGTCCCAATACACCACGCAGTCAACACCCGTCATCGACCGAACGGTTTGGCCGGCGGGACATCACGCGCGGGAAAGTGCAAGGTTCAATGGAAACGCGGCCACGTACGCCGGGACGAACCGCTCCCTGACCGAACCTGGGTCCAGGTCATACACGTCCCGGTAGACGTCCAGCACCGCGGCGTAACACATCTGATACGTTTTCCAGGCGCGCCTCAGAGCGTACACCGCTCGGGCCACGGTGCCCACGGACGGGCTGTCCTTGTGCGCTGCCACTGTCAGGCCCACTATGCACGATATCATGTCGGCCAATACGATCTGCCTGTCGTAGTAGTCTACGCCGCCGGCCGTGGACGAGAACAACAGCTTGCGCTTGACCGCCGCCATCCAGCCGCCCGTGGATTCCGTCGCGCACCGCGCCTCAAGCCGCTTGCACTCGGCCAGCGCCAAGTCCAAACTCGACTTCTCCGACGTCCGAACAGCCGTCTGAAAACGTTCAAATACGTTCGTTTTAAATTTCAATCGTTTCTCCAAATCACAAGATTTAATGTAATTTTTTGTACACTGTGCTTTTAAATTAAATATCTCATCTCGTTTTCTGATCATTTAAAAAAAAAAACAAACAAATACGATTGGTATTAGATAAAAATACGGTATTTTTCGGTTAAAAAAAAAAATTTAAAAACCAAGAGTTAAAAGTCAACATTTTCAGAACAATAAACTCCATGAAGAGATTTATCTTCGATTTTTTTTTAAATTATTAAATTTAAAAATTTTATTATTTTTTTAAAATGTCATGTTTAATAAAATTCCTCGTCTTTAAATGTATGCCATGAATATTTATTTTATGAATTTTCGTTGCATGCTAACGCTGAAAAATTAAACACATAAAACAAAAGTTCAAGGTTTTAAAAAGACACCAATTAAATTAAAATAGTATTATTATAATAATTCTTAGGAAAGAAATGTAAGGAAATATTTTAATAATTAATTTAGAAAATGTATACATTTTTTTAGAAATAATTGCAGATTTCCAATTTTTAAATTTTAAAATATTAATGGCTAATAATTGTGTTTTATAATAAACATTAAAAATTCAAAATATTTACTATACAAAAAAATGTACGTTATAATTTACCTTTGAATACAACTAAAAAATTCCTGAAATTATGTATGTATTTTTTTTTTTAATGTGTCTTCTTTTTTAATCATAAAAATTATAAATATTTGAAATTAATCTTGAAAATAAAAAATGATAAAAATAAAGAAACAATTTTTACGTTACATTCGTTATGCACTAAAATCAATGACTTGCGTTAATCAACTATTTAAATTACAACCATACCATTTAGATGATATACATATATTCTACCTGATTAATTATTATTAAGGTTAACGATTTCATTTTATGACGCAATCAAACTCAATTCGTATATAACACACAATTTATACTGTAACACTATACGGTGTTATCAAATAAGTCCACTAATCCCGTGATGTTGACTGCAAACCGTACTGTGCCCTACAATCATAACGTATTTGCCGAAAACAAGAGCAAATAGTGCGGTATACATAAGCTATATTCATTTGGATAATTTCTAACAACAAATAACAACACTCTTTGTTTAAAAGTAGGAATTATTTATAGTGAGAAAAATGTGACCTGATACGATACGTTTTAAAATGGTGATCGTGAATGGAATGGATCGGTGGTAGAAGTTATGAAGTGTGAAACTAAAAGGTTTATTTGAACATCATAAATTCTTTACTCCTATATTGTGTTTTTGATCTAGTTTTTATTAAATATTATATTTTATTGAATCTCATAAATTTTTTTTAATTCTTCCTCCTAACGTAAATATACCATAAACACGGAAAAAAATCCTAATAGAAATATCTATCTACATTTTTTTCAGGTTTAGAACTCTATATATTAAGGGGATAAAGTTTGCAATATACACTCTATAATGTATATATTACGGCATACTTTGGAAATCCTACAAAAATCGTTTAAAATAACACATGCTTAATGATTTCGCATTGTTTTCTTTTTGATTTGATTTTAAAACGCATTAAGTAGCATTTTCCATTCTATAGGAGAAACTAATGAAAAAATTTATAGTTATTTAAATAAAAAAATCAAATTAAAAAGTTTACAACATTATTTTATAAACTTGTTATGTGTTAGAATATATTTGAAAATAGCCCATTTACACCGATTTAACAATGCAGTAGACTTATTAAATTTTTTAAAGAAAAAATGTTTGTAAATTCGACATCTGTCCTGCACAGACTTAAGGAAGTGATGGAACGTTTAGTATTTTTTCATAAAAAATTTATTTCCGTTTATATTTATTTTCGAATTCACAATAGATTTTCCATTTTAATTATTCTTTTTATTTTAGTTAAATAATACTAAAATTTATATCAAAAAATGTTGACTTAGAACAAAATTCATTACAAATCACGTAATATAAAAATGCAGGTATTGATTGTAACATATTTACCTTATTATTTGCAATAAATCGTAAAAATAACAGTAGACAAATTATTTTATCACGAAAAAACCGCGAATTAACTAAAAAAAAACTTATTAGTTTTGAGAAAAGGTAGAGTAATACAATTTAAAAATTACGATAGTGTATACAACATGTGAATGAATATTGTTTTATATGTGTTGGTTAAAAATAATTCATATTAAATATATTAACCAGTAATAAAATAAAACATTTCCCGCTGGCAATATGCAAATCTTGGTCCTCCTGACGGTTTAACAAATCCTTAGCATCAGCTAAGTTGTTAACATTTTGGATCAACATCCAAACAGCTTTTCTGCATATCCTCCAAGTTGGTTCGTTGTCTGAAGACATGTCGGCCACGGAATAATTCAACTGAAATAAAAAACAAACGGGCTGTAGATTTGTACAGGATTAACTGTACATGGGAAAACGTTTATTAATTATTTACATATCGTATAGTACTCAAAGCTATTATAGGCGTATATATAAAACGCATACTGTTTATTCGATTCGATTTTTGATTTTATGTTCAAAAATATTTTTAACTCTCATTTATCTTCTCTTAAAATAGTAGATTGTATATAAAATAACGTGAGCTAAATGCAATATGTAACTACATTTAATTGTTTCGTTGGCGCGATTTTAAACTTAAAAATTTCGGCAAAAACCATTTGTAGAAACATGTTGAGTAATTACACACAGTTCTTCGATAAAATAAATGGCATGTGCATGTTGTTAAAATAAAACGTGTGTAACAGGACGTAGATAGTTGCATGGACCAGCCATGACACTCTCAGATATATAAGTTTCTTACGGTGTGTTATTTTTCGAAGATAAAAATATATTTTAATAATTAATTTTATGATGAATACACCTGTAAAAATGTTTTAACAAGGAATGTACATTTCATTAGTTGTACATATTCTTAATTTATATTTATAAATGTAATACTATAAGTTGAACCATACAAAAAAAAAAAACAAATTCCACAATGAACTTCTGATGTATAAAGGAGCATTATTATTACTACGATTTTGTGTATTACGTATAATACTCGTGTATAATAAATTATTGAGTAATAAAATTATTTGTAATCAGATGGGGGAAAAAAATATGAACTTATTTTATTCGATACTAAAATATAAACTCAATAGAATAGTATACTTTACACTTAACTCGAGCCTTTTTAGGAAACAGTTCTTGATTAATAATTTAGGATGTATACAGGGACAAGGGAGGGATACGAAATGGTTGTAAAATAATACACATGGTAGTGTCTTCAAAAAAACCATTGTATTTGAAATCGATTAAGTATAGTAGTTTATAATATGTATTTATTGCGTACAGGTAATTTAATATATGTTCATAGTCAGCCATTTGAAGCATTCGACCCTTGCTCTGAGGTAATCATTATCGCTTTCCCTTTAAGCCTATAGTTAGATAATTGCTAGGGTAGTCTATTACTAAATTCACGTATAATAATTGGTACTAATATTATTAAAACGAGAATTCTGTTAGGTACACTATACGTATTTCAAGATTCTAGATCAGAAATTGTTTTTCTAAATACCGTCATTCCGAACTAATAAGCATGTATTTACTTCAGAAATAATCAAGTAAATTGCTTTACTCAATTATTAAAATGAGTTAAAGTAACATGAGCGATGATCAAATTTACTTACTTGTAGCCAGTCATAAAGTCATAAAAATAAAAATAATGTTTTTTTTAAACAGCTTAATGCTAGTTCGCTGTATTTCACACAAATAAAAAATTATTAAATAATTAATGATCAGTCAGTTCCTAAAACAGTATGATGAGAATTATAAGGTAGCGTAATGAAAAAAAATCTGAAGTAATATATGTATTAGTAAAATAATTTATCATACATATGATTCATATTATTATACTAATTTACTACGTGGGTTACCTGTTCAGAATATTTGCATTAGAAAATATTTGTTGACGTATGTTGAGGGGAAGAAAGGATATCAAAGGTACTTTTCAATATTCGTGATTTTTGTATTAATGAATTTATATAGCTACATATATTACATTAAAAAAATATGGATAGTTATTAATAAATGTTAGGATTCCCACCAAATAAAATTAAACTATGTTTTACATGTTTTTGTTATCATATAGATACGCATTATAAACTTTTAGTTAGTAATTAATAAGAGGTGAAAATGTCGATTAATATATTTATTCAAATATATTAATACTTATTTGTCTTACAAAGCACCCCTTATAATATTGGCTAAATTCGGTTCGTAGAAACGTAGTGAATTTAGGGGCGATTGTAAACTCGGTTCAAGGAAAAAAAGGGTATAAAAGGTCTTTTGTAAACTCGGCCCCGATTTTTTTTCAGGTAAAAATGACTGATATATAAACTCATATCGAATAAAAAAATATGGCCTGATCTTCCGATATGTAATTAGAAATATTGGCCAAATAAAATTACGTTGGATAATTTTTTCAAAATCATAAATAATTTCTGTTGGTTTAAAATCACATTTAAATTTTTCACGGATATGTTTTAAACAAGAAATAAATGTATCAATAGTTGTTGCGGATAATAAACTAAAAACAAACGGTATGTAATGAATATTTATATGTGCATGTATTGTAGAAATCTGTTTAAAAACTTGGCACATTACGAGACATTTTCGTCGATGTATATACGTTTATATTCTGATGTACAAAACGTTTTTAAATTTGAATCACAGTTAAAAATTATTATTTTCTCATGTTTATCACTAATTAACAAAAAATATGATTTTATATTTGTAACTATTTGAACTATTTGCATACTCTCTAATACCTCGTGTACTTCGTTGATCGATTTTGATAGTGCAGATATTGATTTTTTTCTAGCGTTTTACATATTCCTCTTAATATATCGGATATCCTTAGAAATCTTGCGCCTCAGTTTGAAATAATATGTTGTCATGTTTATTATATTTTATCAGACCGAGTTTTCAACCAATCATTTTTTATTACCTGATATTTACGGTCCGAGTCTACAGCAAAAAAGGTAATCCTCGGGCCGAGGTTAAATTTGCCTGAATTTAGTCCATGGTCATTAAGAATTTGTATTGCGAATGGCAACGAAAAAATGAACGAAAGTGATAATCGAAACTGATAATTAAATGTAATAGTCAGAAATGATAATATGAACAAATTTTAACATGTATTTTGCGTGCACACAAAAAAGTTAGTGGTTATTTTTAATTATTCAACTTTAAAAACATATTAACAATAGATCGTAAAATAAAATTTATCATTCAAAATATTTACGTAGTAAAAATGTTAACGATATAATTTTAAATGTACTTACTGCCAACTATGATCATGTAAGCACGAAACGTTGATGTTATCAATCTTCCATTAGTCAATTATCTTTTATGTTTACCTAATAAGAATATATTCTATTTTTGACACAATTCAATAATTTTATTTGAAATGCGGCAATATAGTATGATTCTGATATTATAAATTGATATTAATTTGCATTTTGCACACATTTGGGTGGTGTCAATGTGAGTAACTCGATAATACTACTAATGATGAGGAATTCTTGGACTCCATTGTCAACGGCAACGAGACCTGGGTCCACAATAAGACACTAGAAAATAAAGAACAGTCTTTTCGGTAGTAATATCCAGAGTCGTCGAAGCCACGCAAGTTCAATCAAACACTGTCTGCCGGTAAAATGATTGCCACCGTCCTTAGGGACAAGAAAGGGCTATTATTGTGCGAGTTCTTGCCTGCCGGTACAACGATCAATTCCGACCGCTATTGTTCGACGTCGCGGAAGCACCACCACGTGATCCAAAACAAGAGGGGAGTGCGTATGAATCAGGATAACGCTCGTCCTCACACCGCCAATGTCAAAACCAATTTCATCAACCAATATGGATGGGATATTATCACACACACCCACCAAACAGCCTGGACATAGCCTCTAGTGAACGCCAGTGGATCCTTGTACCCAAGTGTGGCCACTGCCATAATGAATTATCTGTGAGGAGAAGTACTGGATAGGTAACTAATGGCTTGGTATCCATAGCCCATGTGTAAGTATTATGAAAATATAGAACTATTCACGATAAAAGCGACGTGGTTTGATCGAAACCTAAAAATATTTAACATAATTACTTAAAAACACATCGGTTGCGGTACGCCGAAACTATCCGTAGCTCGCGATAGCGACGCAGATTAATGTAGGTAGAACTAAAACAGTGCGATGAGTTATACGAGTACAGAACATATTTAATTTTGGATCGTGTTGTAGATGTTGTAGTAATATCCGTCGTTTAACTACGCCGTTGCAGTCGATACGATTATCGTGTCTATAATTTACGAATTATGTTCATCAACCATATTTAAGGTGGGTGGGATGAGTACTGGGTAGGTACCATTAAAATTTAATATTCGCTATACTACATTTTTTGTAGTTTAACGCCATTGGTGACTATCATATTTTCTTCGAAATGAAGAAACAACTGTGTGAAACGCATTTTGCAACGGGAGAGGAGTTGAAAGAAGAGATTTTAGGCGCTATCTTCGTGACGCGGCGGGAGAGTTCTACGACTTGGGCATAAACAATATGGTCACCGAATGTAAATATGTATCGACCTCAACAGCGATTATTATACGGCTTCGGTAAAATAATTTGTCCTGGATTAAAGTGTCGGGCTGGCCGAACACCAGCTCTGACCTTCCCCCACCTTACCACAAAAGATATCCTTCTCAGTACGCTCCCGACTGCCCAACACTGATTTATACTTCATATTATGTAGCAAATTTGTATAAAATAAATACAGTATAAATCATAATTATTTAAAAGCACCTAACTCTATACAAACAAAAACTTGTAAATAAAATGTACAAATTAATAAATAGCTGAATTATGTATTTTTAATGGATCAAATTAGAATAACCAATACTATGCGATGAATTTTACAATTAATAAAGAGAGGAATCAAATTAATTTATATTTGAAGTTTAGAATGAAGAATATAAATGTTTTAAAGAATAAAATATTTTCTGACAGTCAAAATATCGCGAGTAACTAACTTATTTAGAGACACAATTAAGATTAAGTTAGTTATGCATAATACGAGTATAGATGCTTTAATTTTTATCTACATAAATATTTCGATTAATCGTATGGCAATACGACAGTGTGAACCGAATTTAATTGAATACGAGATAGAAAAACAAAAAAGTTTACATTAATTTGTTATTAATTTTTTGTATAGTGACGCAATAAAAAAAATCGTTAAATTAATTTTAATATTTGGAAGTTTTTACTTTTGAAACATTAACAACTTATAGCAGTAAAAAGTATAACGAACTAAATTTGCTGTATTAAACTGCATATAATATTTATAATAATACGTAAATAGAGTAGTCATAGTTACCTCCGCTTTTATTATTTAGTTTTGATATTCTCTACACACCAAATATTACAAAGCATAAACATTAGCCTATAACAGTGGCGTAACTAGAACCTCAATTACTCATGGAAAAATAATCCAGCTCTTAGTTTTACAAATATCCATTCCTGTTAATAAGTAACATATAATTAAAATCGTATTTAAAATACAATTATAAATATGGTCACTTTTATTACACACTATATGTATCTTATTATTTTGGTTTAAATAATATAAAAGAAGTTAATAACTTAAGTGATTGCTTTTAGGTGAAATTACATTATTAATAATAATTTTGTTTATTGTATATGTATAAAAACCTGCATTGAGTTACCGTTCTATTTATTCTGACTAAGACGATCAATAATATGAGAACGACGATTTTCAATGTATGACTAAACATTAATTAAAAAATTATAAAATCGGTAGAACAAAAAAAAAAAAAAACACTCATAACATTTTAGTCGACATAATGCTGTTGTTTAAAACGCTCAAGTCGACAAACAATTAAGTAATATTAATCAATCAATTAATAAAATGTTTATAAATATTTTTTTTTTTTTTGCTTTATGGGCCATTCAACCTTTCGCAGCTTCTATTAATCCTCTCCACACGTTACGGTCATTAGCGCGGTCTCAATGTCTGCTGTTCCGTCTATCATCTTTATATCTGCATTGACTCTATCTTAAAATGTATATTACATTAATTAATTTAATAAACAAATAAATAATAAACAATTATTTAATTTAATTAAACATCAAGGACATTCAAATTGAGCACTATAAGTGCAACTTTCATTAAACTTAATGGAAAACTTTGATTCGAAATTATTACCTTATTTTTCGAAAATCCCGATAAATACCTAGATTTATGAGAATGAAGAAGGGACTTGAATTTAAATTGTATTTTCATCACTTTTTATATGCAATCGAACGCCCGCAAATCTATACTTGTACAGAGCAGACATGATGCGTTCGTCGTATCCACTTTATGTGAAATTGACCTTTCATGAAATCGATTTGCGGATTTTAATACTAATCATAATTATATAACTTAACAAAGACACATGAATTTATCATGAAACGGGAAATGGATAAATATTTTGAATGAATTTGAATGAATTTTTAAATGATTTATTCAAATACACCAAAATACATTATAATCATTGATCCGTTTAAAGTACTAATATTTATAAGTAATAAATTAAGTTATTCCGAATACGTTAACACACGGGTAATCATGTTGTACTGACTGTATTGAAAAAATAATAAATATCGTAAATATTTTTTTATGAATAGCAATGGGCTTGTGAGTTATATTGTGGGCTTTATTAATTATTACTAATCATTTAATACGTTAGATTTTAAAACTGTATTAAACATTTCTCGACGTACAATTATTAATTACAGCACCAGCAGCATTTAGACGTGAAAATAATCAACAATAATCAATAATTGCGCTTTATGGGTCTGGGGGAAAAAAAAAACTACCAGAATCCTTTTCAACCCATTATACCTACTACATCGTATGCGGTGTTCTATTGCGTTCACAACAAGCAATCAGAAAGCGCGGAAAAATCAAGTGTACAAAAATCACGCATGTCTTGGTATTCCTTAGACTGGACGTTCGCGTCGTCGATTCCGATTCGTTCGTCGCAATCCGTTCGGCCCGAATCGTTCCGTTCATAGACGTCACTAAGGGGTATCGAGGAGTATCTTTTTGCTACCTCAAAAAAATGTATAGATTTTAAAAATATATTCCAAGTTTATTTTTCAAGCGTGTACGATCATCGATTATTGTGATTGTATCCAAAACAATTATATTTTGTGATAAGTCCAACACGGACAGTAAGACAGTGTACACACAATACGTCGTGCCAAGATTAACGAAGAGTTAGCCAATAAGTAAGCCAATTATCGTGTTAAACCTTTAAAAATGTATTTTTTAACTTTTTGAAAATAGACTTTGCTACCCGGAAATTTGGACTTTAGCGACGCCCACGGTTCCGTCACGACGAACGTTTACGATTGCATGAAAACACTCACTTGCGGATCACGGCTTGACGGTCCCCGGGCGCGTACTGTTCACGGACTCGGTGCAATCGGCCGTGCGCGCGGAATGCACAAAAGCCGCGTGTCCGGTACGGAAGCCGATTGTCGTGCGCGGGACGACCACGTGCGACGGCGGCTGCGGGTCAGCCGACGGCGGTCGTGCGCGTCGCGAAACGCATTGCTCAACGACCGGTCGCGAGACTGAACCTCGGGGGCGCACACGGCTTCTGCCGCGCGAATAAAAAACCCGAAAACCGCAAGGGGAAGAGTCGGCGGCTGCGGGCCGCGATACGATCGATTGTTCCCATGACCTTGTTTTCGGTAACGCGCGTCCGCCACCCGAGCACCCCTCCCGACCCCTCGAGCTTTCGCGAAAGCTGTAACACTTTTCCGGGTTCGCGGCCCCTTTTACGCACGTACGCGCGACCACGTACCCCTTCTGTACGTTACACGTGCGCGCGCCCGTATATTTCGTACGTGTTTACCTGTGCCGGTACGTAACGAAAACCCGTAGGCGTAAAGGCGGTTTTCGAATGAAAAAAAAAAAAAAAAAATCAACGCTTGAATGTTCGTTAAATTCACTCTAGACACTAGATGTGTTTGATTACCAGCTTACACAAACCGTAGACATTTATGTTTGTTTTCCGAGCGGATTATATATGTTAGGTATAGAGAAACTTATCATTAACCGTATGCATACACACACATATACACGGAACCTACGCAAGATAAAGGAGATACTGAAAAATGCCACAACATATATGAGCGTCTCTCGTCCGATCACATTAGAGACTATTTTATTATTGTCGTCATCGTGTACAAAATATATAAAACGGTGAAATCCATACCACAGGAAAGAATACGGCTAGAAACGTGTGCCTAAATATATGTTTTTTCAAAGTGCACTTGAACGAATTATTTTATACAAAAGTTTTTATAAAAAATTCAAATAAGTAACAAAAAAAATTGAAATAAAAATAAATGATTACAAAACTCGTAATCACTGCGGTTTACAGTCTCCTAGATCCGGTTTGAGCCAATCGACCACGATGCCTGCCATTTCGTCGGAATACTGGATCACGTACGCGTGCTTGTAGCCTTTGTCGCACAGTACCGCGTCTACTTCCGGCACGCTCTTCCTGATTTCGTCGTAGAACGAAGTCGGACACCAATTGTCGCAGTTTCCAAAGTACATGTGCAACCTTTTCGAGTTGTCCTTCAATGGCTGCAACAACCAAGACAATTTTAGTAATCGAATACAATATTCAATCACAAACCATACTAAGAAATATCTTATAGTGATATCGTTATACAATTTTAAAAATAACACGAACTCACACAAACGCTGATGTACTTTAGTAATTTTGTTTATACATTAGAGATTGCATTAATTTTAAATATTTGTTCTAGACTATTAATTATTACGATTATAAAAATATCATGTGTTCAATATACTTAAACACAGTTAATTATGCTCGTATTATCTTTAAGAAAAATCAGAAAAATTATTTATTTTTTTAGCAGTAGTGATCAATATTTTATTATACAAACCGTACGATAAAATATTATATTAAAAAAAATAATTTACTAAAGATTGATAGGTACCTAAATCGTGATCAACTGGTTGAGTATCTTTAACTAATATATAACCTATAACCTGGTTTCATACTTTTTATTTTTTAAATTTTTGAACAGAATAGTAGCATTAATAAAAAGTAAATAGCAGCAGTATAATGTCCACCATTTCTAAAAAAATCGAACATTATAAAAAATATAGCTTCAGTGCAATTTTTGTACATCAGATTTTAACTAGTTTACATATATATAATTTATAATTTGTCCAATTATTTTATGCCGGGTAATACTATAAAAGCATTATTTCTTTCGAGCAAAACATAATATAGAAACATTCTATAATTTTAATTTAAAAGGCTTAAGATTTGAACATTAGTATAATTAAATATTTGATTCTTACTAAACTAATACATACAATTTTGTCTAAACGTAAACTAAAATTAATATATGTTCTTCACTATTCATTGGCTAGTATAAATTTTTAATATGGATTATTTTCAATAAAGAACACAAAAAAAAAAAAAAGAAAACTATCAAGTATATAAATTCAGAATTTTTCTTATAATTCTCAGAAATCCAATCATATATTTTTTAACGTTTTAAGATTATAGTATAGTAGTATGATGAGCTAATAAACCTATCGTTTTTAATTTATAATTGAAAAATATAGTATTTAAAATAACTATGTCAGTATCAAAAATAAAATATTTTTAACTTTAAACTGTAAACGTAATAATTATTATTGATTATAAATTGAACATTTTAAAGAAATGAATAATAATTTAATATTTTTTTAAATTATGCACTAACACATATTTAAATATATATCAAAATTATTTGTAGCTACAGTTACATGCAAAGGAGTAACTCATCTATTTATTCAAAATAAAAACTAATTATCATCAAAGCATAAATTAAAATATATAAGTATATAGTATTAACCAATACAATATGTATGACTCAAGGGCATGCGCATATTTAAATAAAATTGCTATTTGTTTTATAATATTGTATACTTAATTAATTATTTTACTTATTTTGTTGATGTATGGTTTTAAGAATTTACTAAAATAAGTAAAAAAAAGTACATTTTTTACTATCAAAAAGTAAATGTTTAATATTTCAAAAACGAATGCACAAAAACAAACCTGGGAGTCCAGATCGTACACTTTATCCATTTCATCCATCGCCATTGAGAAAACGTTACGCAAAACCATGGGATGAACCAAACGTACAGCTGATCTGATAACATAATCGTTGACATGACCTCTTTCCATGATTATAAGGGTCACATTTACTAAAAATGTTTTGATAAAAGATGGAAGTAATGAAAAAATCTAAATTAAAAATAAAATAAAATGCATTATAACTCTCATTAAAAATGTATTTAATTGATTATAAAATAAAATATTCAGCAAATCGTCATCTGGTTGATTGTGAATTGTAGTAAAAGCATTAAATAATGGCACAATTTAAGTTACTTTAATCTTTATGCGAAATATATCTATAAATTATTTTAATATACACCTATGTAGATGTAGATACATTTGCATCATTGTATAGTATAAAACTTAATAAAAGCCAATAAAATTACACAGTAAATAACTAACCGATTTGCAAAATATTTCCTACCTTTTTAGTTTTAATAAAATTTTGTGGTTTTATTCGTTGAAAATACAACTAAAATCTGTGAAATGTATATAAGTAATTTTTATATTACATTAAGGATGTTTTCTGATATGAAAACATAGAGGAATAGGTTCATTAACTTCACTTAAAAAAATTACTTATATGTTATTTTAATTGGGCGGTGGTAAACTCTGCCGATTTTTAAAAATAATAAATTCTCTCGATGGTAAGCTCTCCTGGTCAATATTATGTTTACCCGAAAGAAATGTGTAAATTTTCCCGGGTCAACATTATGTTTATGTGGAGGAAATGTATAAACTCTCCCAGGTCAAAATTATGGTTGACTGTAGGAAATGTGTAAATTCTCCCGAGTTGTTTTAAATATTATTACTACACTATGAATTGGCCACAGTAAAAATTGAGCACAGATTTTTACTTAAGTGAATATTTAAAATATCAAGTTGTTTGAAAAATATATTTCAAAAAATGCTGAAACGAATATTAAATATCTTTGAATTTTATTTTCTTTACAGATTTTTACAGAACACTCATTATTATTCTAGAATTTATATACGATACTTTTTAATTAATTTCATTTATCTACTAAATAAGATATCAAAACGCAATAAAATGTAAATTCAAATTACACTTTAAATGTTTTAAATAATTTATCAAATAACTTCTAACTGACACTAAAATATAATTATTTTCCCACAGCGTACAATTTTCAAAATAAAAAAAAAATATTAATAAACTATAAAAAAGTAAACTATTTTACAATACTGTTCTTTTAGGTTCCTTTGATATCATACATTTTTTAGTTTTTATGGATCCCAAACTGATAAAAATACATATAATAATAATTTATTCCATATGTTATTCAAGTTTTAAACACCAGGTGGTGATCTTATGAGTATAATTTCCATACGAACGTGCTACGGTCACCAAGTACTGATTTTTGAAATGCTACATAACTGAGAGACTTCATGCGAGCAATAATTCTTAAACCCAAAGTAACCCTAAACCAGTTGTTTTGGCCACATGTAGCATTGTACCCCTTGGGTGGTAATCTTATATACCTACCCGAAGAACACACAAAGCAGTGTCGAGATAAACGAGAATTTCTGAAAACTTATCGTTAATTATATATAGTATACCTATTTTATACTACATGTATACTACTTATCTACTAACTCCATCGAAACGACCATAAACAATAAACAATTTTCTGAAAAAATGAATACGTTTGGTCTTATCAACTTCTGAAACGCTATTAAAAATGGTTTATACGTTATTTCCCATAATTGAATGCATTAAAAAATGTGACATTCGTTATATAATACCAATAATATCGGATTGCACGATAACCTAGACTTACTTAAACTCTTTCGTATATTTAATTAATTAAATACATAACAATTTAATGCACAAAAAAACTTACCCATGATAAAAATATAGTCACTGACAGTAAATTTGATGCAGTAAATATTAGTTTACGGCCGTTCGGTGTCTCGCGCATTTTCTGAAGAGTGGGAAACAGGAATATTGATCGTTTAATAGATAATCTCTTAGCAATTACTTTATCTTTTAGTAATTCTGATATTATTTTTGACCCAATAGAATGACCCACTAAATATAAATCACAATTGTCTGGCACGTACTTCTCAATAAATCGCATTTTGTGTTCTACTTGTCCCTTGAGAGTGTATAAGTCTGGATTCTGTTTAGGATCAGGGATTTTAAGTTCTGAATTTGAAGGAGGAACTTCATGGCCTGAAAATTAAAATATGAAACTATTAATTTATATTGATATAATATAGATATTAAAAAGTAATATTCAATTTTTAAATAAAACTTATAAATATAAATTACTGTAGACTATATTGTGTTATTAATTACTACGGACTAAACTTTGGACTAAGGTCATATATTTAAATATTAATAAATATTGTTGTAGGTACTTTATTAAAACTGTACTACATAAATTGCATTTAGAAATACTGTTGTACCATAAACACAACATCTAGTATTTAGTACTTTCATGTTAAAATTATATACAAAGATGACATTAACGAATTAAATTTCAAAACATCGTAAAATAATCGATTTTAAGTAAAAAAAAAAATATAACTATTAAAAATCTTTATGATATAAGTTTAATTATTTTAAGTGTATTGATTAAGTGATATACTGTAATACAATGATAAAGATTATAAATTATATTAAGTTCCTTTTAATAATGGAAATGTATTTTAAAAACGATAATTGGAAGAATTATAGAGTAGTTACATCTAAGAAACTGCTAAATCATATATGAATATGCAGAGTAATTTTTTAATAATGATTTATTCTGCAAAATATAAGTATATATTGTATATACTCTTAAGTTAAGTATGTCTCGTATATTAAAGTTCAAAAGTTTTAAGGAACATTATTAAAACAGTAATGTATTTTTTAATAACTTATTTTTTTAATAAATAAGTGGGTACCTTTAAAAATAATAAAATTAAAAATAATACGTTAGTTGAAAATTTGAAAGTGAAAATTGTTTTCATGCATTTTTAAATATGCATGAAAATGTATACGTTTTTAATATTTAATATACATTCAATTAAATTACTTATTAAAATTAAAGGTTAAACTGTTATAGTATTTACTATTCAATTTTTATAATATGCATTTCATTTGGAATAAATATGTTTAAAAAAGTTTTAACAGGTTGATATCCACGGGTTTTTGCAAGTTACTTAAATACAATTTTTATTCAAAATCAAACATGACTAATATGTTAAAATTCAAATAAACACTCAGGTATCTGTACCTAAAGTTTTATTATTATTTTTCAACCATCGACTTTTATAAAATGTATTTACTTGACTTAAAAAAAATATAAACAAATACTAAAATGAAATATCATTATATGCACTACATTTTTTCAATAATATATGTATATATGTTTTAAGTTAAAATTGTGCTTCATTATTTCAAAAGTAATGGTTCAACAAAATACAATTTTCATTTAACTTTATAACGGGAAAAATATAAGTAATATTTCTTCATTTATATTAGTTGAATGCAGTGTGTTATAATAAAATACATGAAAACCTATTACTATTCAGAGATCAGAGGCGACTCCGGGGAGGGGGGGCTAGAAGCCGCGGCCTCCTCCTAAGCCCGTATTGTATTTATAAAAAAATGTATATTGTTAACAAAAAAATGCATATCATAATTATAAACTATCATACGACACACATAAGTATGTAGATAGAGCCATGAGGTATGACGGTTGAAAGGAGTTTCTCCACACTTCGGAGACTAAAAAACCTGGCTTCGTTCAATGATGACTGAAGATAGACTATCAGCATTACGTCTAATTAATGTATATTGTAAAGTAGATATTCTAGATAAAATAGATCATACCTATTATTGATATTTTTGCCAATTTTAAAAATAGACGACTTGAATTTGTGTTGTAAAAATTGTTATTTTCTTTTTGTTATAAAATTTTGTAAAATTATAATTCGCCCCCCCCCCCTAACCAAGGCTATGGAGCCGCCCCTATTAAAGATGAATAAATAATTCTAGTTTGTTTTTTTTTTTGTACAATATTATTATTCTACCTACATTATATTATGATAATATAAATGATAATTAGACATAAACATGATTATGAATAAAATATCGAAGTACGTAGAAAATAACGTAAGTAAAAAAATTTTGCTCAAACATTTTTCACAACGGCCAGAAATAATAAATAAATTTAAGTTTCAAAGTGTTCGATACGTGAAAATATAAAACTTTCAAGTAAAATACCATAAATAGTTATTGTCTAATGATATAAAACATGTTCTACTGTTTGAAGTCTGTAAATATCATAATACATTTAAAGACTCGTAGTCCTTGAGATGTACAAGTTACAAGAACCAAAAGATCGTTTTGAGGATACACCGGCAATAAAATAACGTGTATCTTACCATATCCAGAATTTTAAGTATCTTATATTATTTTTAAAGTCACTTTAAGTGATATCACAGAATACCTATTGGAGTCGAACTATAATTTTTAAAACCTAGTGCAAATAATTGTTGTAAATTGCGTGTAGCGAATGCTAAAAAACACCCATCACAAATAAAAATGATATCTTTGAGAACGGCCGTAACATCGCCTTAAAATTGTAAACGCTAAAAAAATGACTTTACTGTATGGTACCATACGTTACACCTACATTGCTTTGCAATGCATATAAATCGATACGAACAATATATATATATAATATAAAAAATAATAATTGCAGTATAGTGCACGTAATTCTTTACAAGGTAACGCGTACTAAAAAATATGTACATTTAGCAAACTTTATTATCGTTCTAACGGTCAAAATACTAATCTCGAAAACTTAAGCCGATTCCAACGGTAAGTAACAGACCATATTTTAAGTAATTTTCACTGGGTGGCACTTCGATAAAATTGTCTACCGTCGTAGTTCGTAGACGTGGTATTCTGCAGAGGAACATACAGGGAAAATAAACTCCTGTCATTACGGTAATTATGAGAATGCGTTGGTTAATGGCACGATCACCCACCATTAAGTGGCATTCAATTATCACTGGGAAGCACTAGTACCATCAGTGGCGGATCCAGGATTTTTTTTTTTTTTTTTTTGGGGGGGGGGGTTAAAAACTGTTTTCCCTTGGGATATTTTTTATAACATTGCAGTCAGTGATTGATAATGGATTAAGATAATAGTAAGTAATATAATACATTAATTTAAATCTAGGACTACTAGTTTCTTGTATGAATAAAAATACAAATTATATACTTAAAATCTTATTAAAATCTTTTCCTTAATTCATAAAATTATTGATTTCTAATATATATTTTTCCTGATTTATGGGGGGGAGGGTTAACCCCCCCCCCCCCACGGTGGAATCGCCACTGAGTGCCACGTACTTTGTATATTAAAATATGCTCCGGTACGCAATGATAATTTTACCTGCGTGCGACACAATCCAAACGGGGACTTTGAGGGCCCGGTAGATTTGCTGCAAGAATCTCTCGTAGAACTCGGTGACGCCCGGGTTGCCGCACACGCACAGAATCACCCGTTTCAAGCCGAGGCCACCGCGGTCGTCAATAGGCCGTCCCCAGCACAGCACCCGAGTGGCCACGCCGTTGACGTCCACCCACTGATCCGTTGCTTTCGCGCTGTCGCCGCCGCTGCCACCGCCAACGTCTGCAGCTGACGAACTCATCTTCGTGACTGGCGCAGCCGTTGTCATCTGTGTCGAAATACAATGATAATGCGATTTTATAACGCACAATAGACACGATCAGAATATCTAATTATGCGTATGCGTGCGCGTGTGCACGTTCCAATGTCTTCTCGCTGTTTTTATTGCCGGCAAGAGAAAACAGTGGTTCGTATTCGCATAAACATTTACGCCGACACAACATTTCCTTGCGATTATCAATATAATACTCATAGGCGCAAATCGGAGGGGGGCTTGAGGGGACTAAACCCCCCCTCCCTAGAAATGTAAAGTATAGGTCTTAGTTGCCCTAGCCCTAAAAATTGTTAAATTATTAAAAATAAAATAATTATTATAATTGTAAAATGCATTTTTAATACTGAATTAAAAAAAATATTCTGTGATCAAATTCGTAAGATTTTACGAACTTATTGTCATGGCTTGGAACGACCGTAATTAATGCAATATTAATAATATGTAATAATACCCACATCGGTTGTTTAATTTAATTAATTAATAATTTCTGTTTAGAATACTTACTCCAAAAATGTTTATGATAAGGCACCTAATTGTATTTTTGGTTAAATTGTTGAGTATGTCAAATTGTCAAACTTTGCAAATTGCCTTGTTGAAATAAATAATGGCGTACGGGGGTACCTATAGGTGTAATAAGCAAATAATGCTCAGTCCCCTCCCCCACTAATTTCACCAAATTTCCGCTTATGATAATGCTATATCACAAAAATTATAATACAATAATGCGTGTAACATGGTCTCATCCATAAATTGTTTGCGTTAAAAACACGTTATATTATATTGTCACGGGAATAATATATGAAACACGTACCTTTCATGGAAAACGTTTTAATTTAAATATTTTTAACGATAGGTAGGTATGCAATACCAATTTTATTTAACAAGTAGATTGGTTTTTAAAATATCGGCAGGTATTCCAAACATGTTCAGAATTAATATGCTAGAAAAATAGTTACTATACCAAAAAAATATGAAACATTTTAAAATAATATACAATATTGTTCTTGCTCTATAAACTAAAATATTACCTTAAAGTAGAGAATTTTGATATGATTTATAGAAATATTGTTTTCAAACGTAAGTGAACATCACTCAACCATATTGTTTGTCCCTTATCAATTATAAATCTTATTTTAGTACTCGTTTCCGAGCTAAAACATTTCTTCAGAAAAATATTATCTTATTGATTTTATATCTGACGATTCACACTCGTCCGGGCCGGGTTCATACCGATCGTCCATGTCGGAAATATATTGTCGTATACAATTAACTCTCAAGGTTCCCGGACGGGTTTGCCAAATAATGCCTGTCGGACACGTTGCGACAAGACTTGTGTGCACTCGGTGTAAACGACTAAACTGCATGTTGTAAATTAAAATGTTAAAAGTATTATGACACGGAACGAACCCGGAGAAAGTGAACGTCTCTTCCGGGTCGACTCGGATGGGCCATTTCGTGTCCACAGTCACAATCCGGACTAATGGGAACGGGACCTTTCTCGTGCGGGTATTATTTTCAACTCGATATAAAAAAATGTCATAAAAATGGGGTAATGTTATTCAATAAACGTATCCGGCGTAATAATCAATCCGTCGCAATACTATTTTTATGTTCAATAGTGTAACATTTACCGAAATCGTGCGTTCGTTTAATGTATTTACTTTCGACTCGGATCACGAAACAAAACAATACGTGCCGGACAGGAACGACAAACATTGGGGACGATATGTAATATCGTAACGTTTGCACGGTGACGGGAAGACACGGGAATTGGGTCCGAATAAACGACGGAGCGCGAGACCACGGAGGCGCTAACACCGGGTTGCACACGTCGGTCAGCTGTTCCGGACGGCCGCGTGCGGTCCTCACCACTATAGTAGCAGCCCGGGTCTTATCAACTCGAACACGTGATAACGTTATCGTTGGTCCGCAATGGTCCGAAATCGTTTTCGTTCGGCGACGACGCGACACGGTTATCGGGTACCGTACGAAAATCGTCGTGCGCGACCGGCAGCGTTAAAATTAATGACGACAAAGCTTTGTTCGTGTACTCACCGGGTGTTCGGTTGTGACGTGCGTTGGTCGGCCGACGCGCAACGGGTACCGCTTGGCGGACGGAGAGCGGCGAACTGCGGCGGGTCGGCGTAGCAGCGGCGACACGAGGGTACACCGCGGTCGCCGTCGCGCAGTCGTCGATTTCACGCGCGCAGCTGCTGTTGGGCCGTGTGCCGCGACGTCAACGAACCTTTCGGCGCGCGGCCGCAGTGCCACCTCGACGCCCGCGCCAAACTATCGCGCGATACCGGTTGCAACCGTTACGGACGTGCAATAGATAACGCGCACGACGTCGTTACGCACTCGGCGCGTACTTTCACGGTTTGACGGTGCGCGCCGGTTAGTGGGGGAACTGTTATTATTTTTATTGCGCAATATATTTTTTTTTCTCCGCATCGAAACGTTTCAAACGGATTACGGCGTTTTACGGGTATACGTATATTTTTTTTTGTTGTCATAACTACTTTCATAAATATCAACTCGAACGACGCAAAAGTTTATTACAAAAATCGCATATCGTTACAAAGTACTCGTAACAGGACTAGAGCTGCGCGTTCGAGTCAGACGTTACGGTGTGTAATTGAATTGCGAATATGCGTAATCTCCGATCGTTTCAATTACGACAATAGCTATAAATTATTGCGCGTGTGTTAAACGAAGACGGGAATAACTGACCGACAATTATGCGTTTAAATGATGGTAAATAAAATGATTACCTAGCACGTGAATACGTCACAAATATAAACAAATAACGCAACAAAACAATTCGCCAACATCTAATATGTTTGAAAAGCTAGAATTATTTGTGAAATAATTGCAATGTTTCAATGTATGATTTGAAAGTTTATATTCGAGAAGTATCATAGTAGGAATTTTCCTAAAGATCGAATTATGTGTACAAATGAATTGCATTCACGAGTTATGCTACTCAATTCAGTTGTTGTGATTGCATGAAAATACGACAAACGTTGGACACCGTCATCCGGAATACTGTATCATAATTCGCATTAAAATATTTATCATTTGCATTTAAAGATAATTTGCACAATTTTTTCCAATAAGTCGGTATAAACTTTATGGAAATCGATCATGTTGTTGATTAGTAACTAGTGCACGAATATTTCGAAATTTACAGACATCGTTCGACATAGATATAATATTCAAGGTCATAAACGCTTTTACATAAATGTATAATATATATATTATTAACTTATTAAAAATATTTTTTTGTTATTATTCACGGTAAATATTTAGTTAAATACGAAATACGTCTCATATCTTCAGTAGGAATTCAACGCATTAACAGCTCGCAACTAAAAATAATTTAAAACAATCTATAGCCGTTCTATTACGCAGTATTGACCACACTCATATTGAATTTTAGATTAGATTCTCAAAAGTAGACGGAAACAGATTTGTTAAAAAAAGAAAGCAACGATTTTGAAAACTACAAAATATTGGACTTATTTTACGACTTCTTCTTCTTTTGGCTTTTACGGGCCATTTAGGTTATTGTCGCAACAACCAACTACCTCCATCTATCTCTATCTTGAGCTAGTTCTTTTCCGTCGTTTACTCCCAATTTCGATGCATCACTTATAATCCCATCTTTCCACCGTTATCTGAGTCATCCTTTCGATCTTCTTATGTCCGGTTTCCAACTCGTGGCCAATCCTATAGGACCTCCACTCATGTCCAGCCCATCCCAGTCTATTACTCTTAAGGACTCCAATTATATTTGTTTCACCAGATAGTTTTTCTATTTCTCGGTTTGTTCTTAATCCGAAGTCCCCTAGTGTTTCTTTTTAACCTAAATATCCTACTAAAAATCTTTCGTTCAAACGTAGCTAGTCATTTTCATCCGTCTTTGTTGTTGCCCATGCGCCACAGGCGTATAGTATACTTATTTTACGACTATGATGATTTTTTTCAATAAGTTAAAGTGGCAAATGGATTAAGAATCTCGAGTCAGTATACCTTTATCGATATTTGTTCTAAGAAAAATAATAAAATAAATGCAGTGGTTCATTTTTATTTCTAATAATTTTTAATTTTGATTTTTTTAATAGATAAATAATTCATCTGTAAATTGTTTATGTCTAATAAGAGGCGGTGCGATTCCTTAGGAAGCGTCTATGGACGCACGGCCAGTATAAGTGAATGTATTATTATTTAATTAATTATTATTATTTTATTATTAAAGTACCTACATCATAATTAATTATACTCATTAACTTATTTTTCTACAAGTTATCAAAATTCCTTTTTTTTCGTACGAAGACGCAATTGGTTAGATTTAAAACATATGTGAATTAATCAAAACTAAGTTTAAAAAACTATCCGCATTTTCTATGGTCACGGAAGCATAGTAACTTATAAATGTATACTATTAGAAATACATCACATAAAAAAGAAAAGCATTGTATTCATACTAAACATTGACCATAAAAAAATTAAGTTATTGTAGTTCTATCATTTGGATTTTTTCTGCTACTGACCCAAACCAAATGACGCCATTGAATTAATATCTAATATAACATAGTTTGTAGATATTTCATATTGTACCTAATGTAAAATGTTTTTTTTGAAAATATCGGAACTCGTCTATCTAATATTAATTTAATTAATAAATAAACTACATTTTATTACAATTACAATAGTTAAATAACTACATATATTTATAGATTAAATTATAATATTTAATAAAAGTAATTTAAAGAAGTTACCCTACGGTTAACGCATATTTTCGTATGTATAATATTATATATTTTAAAGATTATTCCAATTGTTTAATGCGATATTTAAAAATTAATCAACACTTATTGTATGCAATTATTATATTTTAGTTACGAAAAAAAATTATAATTTATTATTGTATAAAAAATATGTAGTAGCTACTAGGTGTAATTACAATTAAATATATTATATTATTATAAAACCGATTAATTATTAAAAACATTTTGATTTATTATTATATTACATTTAGTTAAATTAAAAATTCCTTTTATTCCTCGTATTACTATTAAATCTATAACTTTCTACATTTTATGAAAATATTTTGTACAATTAAATTACTTGAGTAGAGTATATTCGAAATATTTGAAACGCGATATTATTTTATTTTAAATACGTTATTAGGTAGTTTTATTTCAAGCTTACATTTGCAATGACTCGTATTATTGTACACGTATCATATTTTAAAACGTTTAACAATAATTATTTTTTTTTATAAAGATTAATAATTTAATACAAAGTATAGTGTACCTACCTACATATAACATACTTATAACCTGTTATTACAGTGAAGTGGAAATATCGTATTACATAATATTTAATTTAACTTTACCTGTGTATGAGTATAAAATCTATTACACTACATAAAAAGAAGTAAATAGCTATTTTAAAATGTACAAACTTAAAAAAAATATTATAATTATTTATGTTATTGGTTATTTGATATTGTATTTTGTAAATTACGATATATCTAAATAAAAAAAAAACTTTTAAAATAAAAAAATTATTCTGTAAAATATAACTATCGAGAAACTTATTAAACGTAAATATAAGTTAGTACCTATATAAATACTATTTAAGTCGCAACTATTTACATACTGATTTCTCTCAAATAAGACCTTAAATTTCAACCTTTGATTCTTTTCCATCTACGAAACTGCTGCACTCTTATAAACTTTTCCACGACCAACTTTAATACAACAATAATTAACTTATCAAGGATCTCACATCAATTTTACTTCCCTACCAGATGACTTAAAAGAAATTGGCGCTGCGACTTAAAAACTGCAGTACCTATAAAATGTTGAGAAATGTCAGTTATGTGATTTCCATCTCATGTTTAAATAATTAATTCCCTTTGCTATACAATTATTATTTATTATAAACATTCTTTTTATAGATAGTAGTTTCACAAATAAAGCCATTTCAAAAAATATAAACTACTTTTATTGTATTGTTTAAGCCGAAACCAATAATCATTTATAGTAATATTAATAACTTTATCTTTTACTCAAAATCAAATCATTTTGAGATTTTAACAATTTCTTAGAACATTTGAATTATACTTCGAATCGTAATAATTATTATAGTGAGCACAATTGGTAGACAGTGTACACCATATCAAAGTATAAAGTTTTCAATGTAAACTTTATATTGTTACAAATAACCAATTTGAATAATCTGAATTCTGAAAATAGTTGAAAACATTTAAAATTATTTAATACTAAACTTATGTACTTTAATGATCTTTTTAAATATTATACATATTCTGGTACAAAGAAAACAAATTTTCAATATTTTATTAAATTATAATTTTCACCTAAAATTACAAATTTAACTGTTTAACTTCTATTTCATATTGCGATACCATAAAAAAAAAGTATTATACAATCGACTATCGAGAAATCGTAATAGCAAGATTATTGATGTTTTAAAGTTTAACGGAACGTTACAAAACGTTCCATTTGTCATGTTATTATAATTATGAATTATAATACGAGTAATATTCATATTTCATATCAATCAGCCAATTCGCGTCTTCAAAATAAACCATTTTATTTTCCTATGTAGAATTTGTAAAAACCTCAGAAAAATTTCGGGGGGGAGGGGGGTTACAACCCCCAAATCCCACCCCAAGTTGCGTCAGTTTTTGTAATAATATATTAATTATTAACATAATCACATAATAACAATAACAAGTAGAGTATAGTGTATAAGTATATACATAAAATAATAGGTACCTAGTATAAACTATTGTCACTGCAATTGTTATATATTTTATTAATACATTTAAAGGTTATTTAAAATGTTTTGATGTAAAATTACTGAGCAATATATTTTTGTATTCCTCTAATAGAAGCATTAGTCAAGTATGGCTTTAATGGCCTTATAATGTCAATATCTGCACAATTTTTGTAATTTTGTACACTTCTAGCTAAAATAGCTAAAATAAAAAGCAATAAGGTACTATGTTAATTATAATTTATAATTTATTTTGATCCTTAAAAAATACAACAGTGCATAAGTGTAGAATTGAAAATACTTTTTTCTTTTTTGACTAACATAGGAGAATTTTGCCAACAAATCATTGTGAAATAAATTAACATAGTTAAGAAATATACCTCACGTGGTAGTTTATATATCACATTAGTTGTCCTTGCTCAATTCTATTGAATTTTGTTGCTAAATCTCTTATTTCATACCTTAGGTTAGTTACTGAGAGATTTAGAGATTTAAGTATATCTAAAAAAATAAAAATTAATTTAAAAATTATCAAATTTAACAATATTACATAAATATTATTTTCCATTACTATTTGTTGAACATTTTTTTCTATCATCAATAGTTTTTGAATAGGAATTTTTTACATTTGATTCTTTATTTAGTTTAGATATTTCAAAGGAAGCTGTAAAATATTTTATAAAATATTATATCTAAATAAAATAATTATAATGATTTATGGATACTTTTAATTATAATATAAATTTAATTGTTGTAATTTAAAAATAAAAATAAACAAAAATTTTTAAGTAGTTTTAAGTTGTTTTGAGAAATAGTAATTATATAATTATAATAATATATTACAATATAAAAAGTGTAACATACCAAGTAAATCTGAAGAATGCTTTCTGGCAGGTTCATATAGTTCATCAGCTCCTGAATTGTCAACATCAATGTCACTGTAACTATCTAAAAATGAATATTTGACCATTGAAAAAATTAAATTTTATATAAATTATTTTATAAAAATTATATACCTTCATTGATCATTTCAGTGCTAATTTTATTTTCATTTCTATCAAAACATGTTTCAACTTTAATGTTATTTACAAATGCTTCTGTAATATAAAAAAAAAAAAATGTATTAATTGTATGTTAAACTTAAACAATCAGGGAAAATGAAACATAAGTTTTCTATATTAAATATTTATCATATTTATATTATTTACCTTTACTATTACTAATGTCATCATACAATACTGTATTATTTGAGTTTTTATTTACAATATCTCCAGAAATTATATTAAAATAAAATATTTTGCTAATATACATAATCTTTTATTTATAAACAATAATGTAAAAGATATTGTAATATATATATTACATTGATTAATTTATTAATGTATAAGTATATATGTGTATGTACTCATATATATATACACAATATTCTATAAAATATTTTTGTCAAGACCGTCAAAAAATATTTATCAAATATAATGATCATACAAATGCTGTATATATATATTTCAATATTTGTATAAGACATACCAGGAGTTGAACTTGATAATGGTATGAAATCTGATGTGCTACATGCAGGGTCATCATTATTCTTTGATTCATCTACTCTCTCAACTTCCAAAGCATCAAACAATGTAGGTACAGCGTACGGCTTTAGTCGATTTTTTTTTAAATTAGAAAACATATCAGTTTCAAAATGTAAAGAACAAACACGATGCTTAGTGTTTGCAGCCAAATTGTCGATTGTATTCAGTTTATTAGACTTGCAATTTTTGATCCAATCAGCACGTCTATAATAATTTTTAAAAATATCATTAAAAACAAGACATATTAAGATATGTAAGTAACTATTGTTTGATTGGGCTGAATGAAGCGTATTAATGAACTATTAATGCTTAAAACATTTTTGTATTCAAAACGAGAAAAAATATAAAATTAAAGTATATAAAATTATTACTTACCTAGCACGATCTTTTGGGAAAGTAAAAAAACTTAAAGAATCCTTGTTCAACATGTGACTTTTACAATTGGTCAAGCAACATTTTGAATACTGTTTGCCCCGTTTATTGACAAAATACTCCATTGCAAGAACTGAAACTTAACTAAATAAACACCGAGGTGCAAGTAAACAATTAACAAAACTCGTTAACACGTTGAGTGTTTCGATGTAATTTAACGTGCGCAGCCCGTGTATTCGCGCCTAAACTAGACCGCGCACAACGTCGGTCGACTACGTGTCGACGTCGGCCACCACCGCGAGACCGTAATTTTTACAGCCCAGGTATATTCATTATTATTTATTATTTGATGAATGATAAATATGATAAATTTATAAATCGTTTTGTCGAACTTATGTATTGAAAATTATAAAATAAACTATGCTTAAAATTCACTTGGGTTTTATTTCAAATAATTATACGAATTTGTAAAATTACACAAGTTTCACTGTACAAAAACTATATGTATATAAAATTATGTGTAATAATTACTTATATCTAATAAATAATAACTATTATTATAACCGTGTCTGTGTACGAGTCATTAAAACGTAAACCAAGAAGTAAGCTGCAAAAATACATCATCGCGGCAGGTCGCCTTCATCGACGATTTCCAGGAAAAGAATAATCGTAACATTGCTAAAAATAAACGAAAACGAAATCCAAAGACACCGTTAAAATCACGTGGACATTTCACTGAATAACGACAAATAGAAACGGAAGAATTTCTCTGAAAACCGGGTGAACTATAGGGCCATAAAGATGTGCATAACATTTGTCGACTAGTAGTGATGGGCGCTACCGACTAGTTTTGACTATCGATAGTCTATCGATAGTTTAATAAAACACCGAGTGGTTATTCAAACGGATGATAGTATTAATTATTCGATATTTTTCAAAATATCGATTGAACTATTGAACCTGATGAACACTACCGACTAGTTTTGACTATCGACAGTTTTAAAAAACAATCGAGTTAATCGAAACCATCAAATATTATTTTATACATGAATAGATAGTCCGAAAACAATCGAGACAATCATTTAAACAACCGAGTGAATAGATGGTTTAAACTACCGAATAGTCCGTTAGTTTCCACTTGATAGTGTCTATTACTACTAGTTAGTTAATTGTTGGAAACAACAGTCGAAGATTTGATCGAATTCTTGCAATGCCATTTGTGGTCTGCTGAAATCAATTTCTAAGTCACAAACCACAAGTACAAAACTAAGCGTATTTACTTCTTTTTAGGTGATCCAATAAATTAGTTGTACCATTATATCTTTAATAATTATTTTTACAAATAGTGCAAATAGCCACGCCTGAGTTATTTGCATCCTTTTTAAAATGCTTCCAAACGATAGAACAATTTTTTTTTTTTTTGGGAAGTGGCATTATGAATTAAACATGTAAATAAATAATAAAAAATAAAAATTATGTTAATATATTATATTATATATATTTATATTAATAATAAACTAATATTAAATCATACAGTGAAATAGACGAATCAAAAAATAAACATTAATACTAATTAAGTATTACTCAGATACAACGATAACAGTCGATTGTTTTGATGGTCAATAGTCGATTGTTTAGATAGTCCGAAAACAATCGAGTTAAACGGTTAAACAACCGAGTGAATAGATAGTTTAAATTACCAAACAGTTCGATAGTTTTCATTCGGTAGTGCCCATCACTATCGACTACCCGTTTATTATTCGGAATGGATAAGGCTTATATAATTGCTTAAGGTACGGTTTCCTATATGCGACTGGTCGCAACGACTGATCGCAACAACTAGTCGCAATGATTAAACGCTACGTACCGACTGGTTTCCTTAATGCGACTACACTTAGCGACTGGTGGAATAATAATCTATTTTATCCTATGATTTGGTAGTGTAAAGACGTGTTTATTTAGTATTAACTTATTATTTGTATTTTAATAATTTCTGTTATACTTTACGAACTGCAATGGAGAAAATTATTATTAATAATAATAATTCAATTAGTATTCTACTAGAGGAAGATGAAAATCCATTAGTAACTATTAAAAGAAATTCAATAAATTCAATAGACAAGTTTTTTTCAACTCGAGTAGATGAAGGCTTTTTTGAAATTCTGATAAATGAACATTTAAATAATAGAAAAACCGAAATTCCGAGAATTTTTCCGTATCAATTTTGATCAATTTATGTTCATTCTATCATTGATAAAGAATGATATAACATTACCTCCATCTAAACAAGTTAAAAAACCAATTAAACCTGAAGAAAAATTAGCAGTAACTTTAAGTTAAATAAATAAATATTTATAATTTAAATTAATATGTATATATATTTCGTATGACAGAGTAGAGCAAGAAATTTAAACATTTAAATATTAACAGACAGATATACATAATGGAATAACAAAATATAGAATAAAATAAAATATGTTTTCAACAAAAAAAATTGTAGTTTTGGTTTCTAAAATTTAAGCTTATGTGTAAAAAGAAAATTATTATGAAGGAAAATAAAACACGCATGCGACTCATAAACGACACTGCTATCGGTTCACTATAGTCGCAAGCCGCAACGACTGTTATCGACACGCACGTGTCAATCGCACATGGGAAACCACTTTCATTGATTAAATATAGATCAGTCTTTGCGACTAGTCGTTGCGACCAGTCGCACATTGGAAACCGTACCTTTACACGTTTTTCGCTTTTCATCCATATCCAACAATAATTATTAAATAAAACAAAAATATTTTTTTAAACAAGGACCAACGCAATCAAAAGCAAATTAATACTGAGTACTAACGATAGTTAAATACTGACTGTCGTCTGAAAACTATACTGTCGATATGCTCAAATACTGTCAGTATTTATAAGTACTTATGTATAACATCAGTAGAGGAGAGGCCGTTGTCATGTGATAAGACATTAGATTCATACTCGGACCGAAACGATAAAAGGAAATGCTGGAGAGACATTTTGTATAATGAAACCGGAATTTGAAGAGCTGGATATAAAGAATCAAAAAATTATAGGTAAATTAAAAAAATTGACGAAAATCATATGAAAATAATTAAAAAACTTATCAGGATCACTTCTGAGTCCTTCAAAAAATGAAAGTAAACGTACTATCGGATGGACGAGAACTGATTAAATGATAAACCCACATTTTCCTGTTGATCTTTTTTTTTCTTTTTTATCAATAAATGGTAACCTAAAAACAAAATAATGTTTTCGTCTACAATGTCTGCCATGTTATCACACACTGAAGAATTTTTGTTCAAAACGCCAAGTTGAGAAGTATTATGCGGTAACATAACACTCGTGTGTTGATCGTGTATACTTAATATACGATACGTACAATACTCGTGTATTATAAAATATAATTAATAAACTATTGAACTAATCTTAAAAATGTACATAACTTAAACTATAGAGATTTATAATTCCAAAAAAAATATATCTAGACATGGTATCAGAAAATAAACGAAACATTTTAACACAAATACATTATGATATAATTAAGAATATTCTATTATAATAAAAATATCGCTGATTTCATATCAATCCAGCTTACGAATTTTTTTAAAAGATTCAGTATACCATTAGACTCTTAAGATTTAAAGCTCATATCGTGGAATGAAAATTACCAATACAAAAAAAGGAAAACAATTGGTAAATAATTTATGAATAGTAAATTATACTGCATAAAGAAAAATTAAGTTAACAGAAGATTATAACAAACTAATTATCAACCACCAAGAATAGAAGCAAGGGCGTATTTGAGGGGGTAAGGGGGCATTTGCTCTCCCCATGACTCGTATTTTTTTTTGAATATAATACATTGATTTATTTAAAAAATGTAATGTATAAATAATTAGGAATATAAATTACTAGTCTATCAATATAATATGATAATAAATTCAATAATATGTCAATTTGGTCACGGGTATCAATTTTTGTTTATCTTTTTCTAACATTTTTGGTTGCGGAACGAATAGTGGTATTATCTTCCACGGATATTGCTACGGTTATAGACATTTACAACCATAACCGAGGTATTTATCAGATAATATAAAGTAATTTAAAGTAACACTTTTTTTACAACATATTTACTAGTTCATCATTTTTTGGTACATTTATGCGTACTGTATATTTTTGTATTTATTAGAGCTATGTTAGTCCTTAATAATTTTACTCGTCAATTTTTTTTTTTACAACATAATATCTGGTGCTTTTTGTTATGCATAGGTATTTAGTCATTTTCGTGTACAAACATGGGCGCCCACAGGAAATTTATCAGGGGGGGGCATAATGAAATCAAATACAAAAAATAATACATTAAAAAAAGTTTATTCCTTGTAAACTACAAATTGTGTTAGAATTATATGAAATTCAACACCAAAAAGAACATTAAAAAATATATTCCTTACAACCTAAAAAATTAGTTAAATAAAAACTGAAGCTATGTGTGCGTGGTGCGTCGATCTTCATAAGTGGTTTACACACTAGGTGATTAATATCAATTCACAGAATTGAAACGTATTGAATTTTGCGCGATTAATGTAATACGCATTATTTTGTCGGTACGCCTTATAATATATTGTTATTACGATCAACAACACCACACAGCACACACTAAAGTAAAAATATCGATAAAATGTTGATAAATCAAAATAAAAGTTAAAATATTCAACATTCTATTGAATTGCATGGAGGGGGCAAATGCCCCCTCTTGCCCCCCCACGGGTGCCCATGTGTACAAATGTATGCATATTTGTGTATTTTATAGAGTTAGAAGTCTCTAACCCGAATAATAATCATAATAACTGACAATATTTGTTTCCATATTCTTTTACTTGCAAATATTAGCCAAAAATATATTTTTGTAGACTGAAAACATGCTTAAGATCAAGAATAGGCCAGCATAGATCAACAGGTTTGGTTTTGCTGCATGCGCATAAAAATATTATTGTATCCATTGATGAAACAATCAACAAATTTTTCAAAATTAAAAAAAGAAATTTCGGATTTGTTATTTGACTTTTTACCAACCTTATGTTTTATACTTAGATATTTGTTGAATAAAGTTACCTATCTTAATTGTTTTTAAAGCTTTTAAAAAATAATTAATAGGTACTATTACTACTATGATTGGTATTTGTTGTTTTTTATACAGGATTCAGGCTGAAGGTACAATTTTAATATAAGAACTATTTGTGTTGTTATTATTAATACTTATTTTATATGCAGTAGGTTTTAAATATATTTATTAAATAAATATTTAATTTAATTTGGTTGGTACTTGTATTTTTATTTATTCACTCGAATTAACAACAGGAACATGAGCTTTAGGTAATGAACCAAGAATTTAATAGGAGGGAGGGTTCAAATTTTTTATTTTATCTGTTCTCTAATTATAATTATAGTTTAATTCAATACCAACAAATTATTGTTAATAATTATAGTAATAGTCACAATAGTTATACATATATCATACATATTTTTCACAAAGGTTTCATAAAAGGTAGATACTATAATTTGAAATCAATTTTTATTTGGTAGTAAAATGTACTAAAAAAATACATTGTTTAATTAACAATAATAAATAATATTAAAAAAGCAGTATAAATTAAACATGTTTTATACATTATAGATATATTATAATCTATAAACTTTGTATATTGAAGATAAAGGGAAATTTATTAATTATTTATTAAGCCATTGAGTATGTAGAAATTTCAATAGGGAGAGCTCCGAACCCAAAACTCCCTCCCCCTTTGGTTACGCCACTTTTATGAACTGTAAATTAGTTTAAAGTTTGTATTGAAGAAAAATTAGTTTCGCCCCCCCCCCCCATTGCCTCAACTCAAATACGCCCTTGAATAGAAGCAATATTTTCTGCAAATAGTATCTTGGCGATTTCCAGATTGTAAAAAATGTCTCTTGTCCAAGTACATCTAATCAAGGCTGAACGAGTTAAAAATTAAAATTAAGTTAAAACGTTAAGTTAATTTTAATTGAGTTAATTAACTTGTTACTATTTTACAAATTAACTTTAACGTAATAAGTTAGTTTTTTTTAATATTAACGTGTTAACTTTAAGTTAATTTTAGTGCAAAGAATAATGTAAATTATTAAATGAGGTTTTTAGTATATTTATAATTTACTATTTTAATATGAATTTCCTGTAAATGAAAATAATATGAAAAATAACTTTACCTAATAGTCATTAAATGGGCTATATTTTACTATTATATTTTTATAACATTGTTATTGTATAAACACTATAAACCCATGAAAATCTTAAGAATATTCTGTGAAAATAGTAAATACCATGACGTGCGTGAAGTTGGCCCCCCGACATTGTCTGATCTACTCCGGACCAATGCCAATATTTTGTAACTCATTTGTAACTATTTGTAACACAATTTTCTGAATTTGTAACTCCTTACTTTGGGCGCTATAAAAAATATTTGATTGGGGAACTTCATGTAGCCCGCCAGCGCCTAGGAAGTTTCTCCCATTCCATATGGTCCATATAGTAGACTTCAAAAAAAATTGCTATCCCTGACTCCGGGTGTTTTTGAAAATTTCATTTTTACTATTTTTTAAATTTTTCATTGGGTATTATTTTTTTTATTTTATTTTATTTTTTATTAATATTAATTTAATCTTACCAGTTTTTAGAACTTCTTAATTTCACCGTAATAAGCTTTTTTAATTGAGTGGAGGATAATTCACGCAGTCCCCTCCCACTTTGTTCTATTAATTCCAAACTTTTACTTATATTTTACCTTACTATCTCATAGCGTACTTATGTACCTACCTATTTTTGTTGTATATAGTGTAAAATATACTAATTTTCTTGTATATATATATTTTATTATGTTTTAAAGTCTCTTGGGAGGGGGATTGTTCCATTTTTTACCCCTTAAATTACGCCCCTGTATACTGCATGGATAATTCCAATATCATGTTAAATGCTGATGTAAATTTATTATATACGCACCCGGCAGTAGCCGACGTGATTTGACCTGCGGCGACCGTCACCAAATTTTTTTTTTAATCCTAGTTAAAGTATTGAAAAATATTGATTCAGAATTTTTTAACATATACCTTACTCTTTTTTGACCGACTCAGTTATGTGATGAAGTAGTTTATGTTCTCGTTTTAATATTATTAAATGGTTAGTGGTAATTGGTATAAAATATTTAGATATACCATTAGTAGGATTGGATTAAATTTTTTATTACCT